CCACAGTTTTGTTCCTGGAGATCGATCTCGTGATGATGAGGGAGGGATGTTGATTCGAGATCCTGAGCGGGATCGGGAAAGAGAGGTAGACTGGGAGAAGGATCGAGACAGAGACCGAGACCGAGACCGGGACAGAGAGAGGGACCGTGAAAGAGGTCGGGAGAGAGAACGGGATAGTGAACGAGACAGGAGCCGGGATAGAGACAGGGACAAAGATCGTGACAGGGACAGAGAACGAGACCGAGAACGAGACAGAGAGCGGGATGGACCCTACAGACGTGAGTGAACCTGTGAAACATTAAGTTGATTTAAAATATTCCAATGTTTATTCATAATTCATGGATATGCGTTTTGTAATACTTAATGATAATACGATTTGTTCTGTTGAAAATCTGGAAGTCTAATTATTTTCTGTAATGTTGTTTAGGGTCAGACTCATATCCAGAGCGCAGAGGGGTGCGCAAAGGAAACACAGTGTATGTATACGGCACAGGTTTAGTGGAAGACAGTTTGCGCTCAGCCTTCGCTCAGCATGGCAACATCATCGACCTTTCAATGGACTCGCCACGCAAGTACGATTGTTTTCTGATCCTTTTGGACATTTGGAAAGGGAGGAACTTACTCACTTGATTGTCTATAGAAAAGCTTATAGGATTGATTTGGTTGATACAGGAATAAATTGAGCCAGGATCTTGTATATTTTGTAATTTTAGACGTTTTATCTTTTGTAATGGTAGATTTACAGGGATATACAAGAACACTACCATTCAAAAGTTATATATATATATATATATATATATATATATATATAAAAGGCTATTAGACTGCATTTAAAAACAGTAAAAACAGTAATTTTGTAAAATATTATTACAATTTAAAAGAACTGTTTTCTATTTGAATATATAGTAAAATGTAATTTATGTTTGTGATGGCAAAGCTGAATTTCCAGCATCATTTCTGTCTTCAGTCAAATGATAATTAAAAAATTATCCTATTCATTATTATAAATAGTGATACATTTTTTCAGGATTTTTGTGACAAATAGAAAGTTTAAAACGGCATTTATTTGAAATAGAAATATTTTGTATCCTCATAAATGTCTTTACTGTAACTTTTGATCAATTTATTGTATCCATGCCTAAAGTATAATTTCCTTTTTTTTTTTTTTTTTAAATCATACTAACCCCAAACTTTTCAACAGTAGTGTGTGACATGTCTGGTAAAACAAAATATATACTATATATATATTTTTTATTTTTTACTCTTACCAGTTGTGCCTTTGTGACCTTTGAGAAGATGGAATCAGCAGACCAAGCTGTGGCAGAGGTCAGTGGTCCATTCTCTTTATGGGGCCTTTCTACACTATTGTAGCATCATATTTTTTATATATTTGCTATGCATCTTTTCTGACCCTAAATTCAACATATTTTTGCTGCTGTTGTTTTATAAGACATCAGTTATGACAGGCTAATCACTTCACATGTAGTCGTTCACTTCACATGTGGTCAATAAGGACTAGTCGTTATCCACACTTGTTTTGGTAATCCATACTTGATTCTATACTTGCCGTATAGCAGAAAAATATTTTGTCCATCCAAATTGTGACCTTATATTTTAATAGTTCTTTAAAAATATTTAGCTTCAATTTATTTTCAGTTTTAATAATTTTAGGATATCAACTTCTACTATTCTACTATCGACTTCTACTATCTAACTATTTCAGCTTTATTTCAATTACCGAAAATAAATTTGAATAGTTCTGGTACATTCGAAGCCGACACTCGCCTACAGTCATGCAAGCGCTAATGGTCAAGTTTTGCAGCTTAGCATCCATAAATAGTCTAGTGTGGACTGTGGAGCTTTGCATTGTGTATATTCAAGCTTAGTCTACATTATACATCGACACAATTACAAAATACACAAGGAAAATCCTGTTTTCTGTCCTATGACCCCTTTAAAGGCGTTAAGATTTAACACCTTTATTTATTCACTGAAAGAAACCCTTTTTCCACTCTTTCTACCTCTCAGCTGAATGGCACTACTGTGGGTGACGTCAACATCAAAGTCAGCATTGCCAGGAAGCAGCCCATGCTTGATGCCGCCACAGGGAAATCTGTCTGGGCCTCTCTTGGTAAATGAGGACATTTCACAGGGAAAAGCTGTCAAGGAGACTGAGTGTTGCACACTTGACTAACCCATTTCTCCTTTTCTGTCTCCATCCTTCACAGCTGTGCAGAACAGTGCCAAGGGCTCGTACAGAGACAAACGGAGCCAGGTCGTCTACAACGAAGACTTCCTATGAAAACAGTTGTTTTTTTGTGTGAATTTTGTGTAAATTTAACTTTTCTGTCATTTTCTTAAGTAATTATCATGATGTTTGAGCATGTTTACTGCTCAGTGTCATTGGACATTTAGCTCATTTATGGTTTATGTTGTTGTGTTCAATAAATCAATCAAACGTCTATGTGTGGAGCAACACTTTACAATCTGGACAAACTAACAAATTATTACCTCAGTGAAACAGTTTAACAGGCCGATCAGTTTTTCTGGTGACATCAAGCGAATCTGAGCTTAGTATGGATAGCTGTGTATATGAATAATTACCGATTCACTGCAGTCCTCTGTTGTGTGGAACAAGCTCTTCCCTGCAACAATCCACAACATTAGATGCTATTGATCAAATGAGCTCACAGACATTGCAGTGCTCTGGTTTTGCCTAAAGGGAAACAGAATACAAATACAGAGGCATGCACTGTTATATAAACGCTGTTTAGCATTTCACAACTAGTTGGCAGGAAGGGAACAGCAATGTGTTGTTTCAACTTTCCCATCCTGTTTACGGCAATTTTTAAGACGATCTCAATTGTGACAAGATATGGTGAGATTGTCAGCGTTAGGCGGTTCTCATGTACTGACTCTCATGTCATTCACTAATTTTATTCTGTGGCACATAAAGTATTTTGAGAAATATCTCGTTTTTTTTCAAAGTCAATGGTGACCAAAGCTGTTTGGTTTTTGTATTCCGCAGGTGAAAGTCATATAAGTCTGTAATGTAATGAGGGCGAGTAAATACCGGTAATGAAATTTTCACACTTCGCCTTTAAGGTGACCGGCAATGTAAAATTAATTCACAGCATGAGAAACAGTTGGAACAAAAGCTTTTTAATGAGGCTTTTATGGAATTGGCAACATACAGACACTAAAATTGCACTACAGCAAAAATAACACATTTTCTTACTTTCCTTATCACGCACAGTACTAATTCATGAACATTTCGTTTGTATTAAACATGTGTATTACTCTCACAAGCAATAGATATGCTAGACCTTCCCTTGGCGTCCATTATCTGCTCAATTGTAGTAAATGACCTTTAACCCATAAAGAGAAACAGAAAACCGTAGTATTTGTGCTCTTATGTGATATAAACGGATAGTTCACCCAAAATTGGAAATTCTGTCAATATTTCAAAAGACAAGAGTGCTGAGGTTCAAACAATATTGGACCTCGTTGATTTTAAATATTTGGAGGAATAAAAAAAACACCAGGACTTTACAAAATATCTATGCTTCACAGAAAAACGTAATTAACTCATGTCCTGATTTAAAGGGATAGTTCACCCAAAAATGAAAATTCTGCCATCATTTACTCACCATCAAGTTGTTCCAAACCTGGATGCATTTCTTTCTTCTGCAGAACACAAAAGAACAGTTACCAAACAGCTGATGGGCCAAACTGTTGACTTTCATAGTATTTTTTCCTCCATAAATTCAATGCAGACCATCAACTGTTTGGTTACAACTTGAGGGTGAGTAAATGATGACAGAATTTTTATTTTTGGGTGAACTATCCCTTTAAGGTAGCTCGCCAAGACGTAGTCCTTTTCATCCAATCAGACTGAGCTAAAAGTGTCCAACCCCCTCCAATGAATATGAAATATTTCTAATATTGAATAACATGAGAAGTTAATTTTTAAAAGTAGCTCTAAAATTAAATAAGGTTGGAGATCCCTGATATAAGGAAATTATAGAATTTCGTTTTTGGGTAAACTGTCCCTATATGTGAATATAAAGGCCAATTCACACTGCACTGATAGACGGCGACCAAGACAGGCAATCCCCAGATGACAGTACATCCCTTAGACAGTAGACATTCTGCTACCCCACAAACGCCAATTGAACATGCCAAAACAAGTGCCGACCAATGCCAAAAATTGCAAAACCCAGAGAAGTGTCTGTTGCCCTTGGTCAGTGTATGTTGATGCAGTGCCAAATGGTCTTAAAGGGATACTCCACTTTTTTTTTGAAAATACGCTCATTTTACAACTCCCCCAGAGTTAAACTGTTGAGTTTTACCTTTTTTGAATCCATTCAGTCGATCTCTGGTTCTGGTGATACCACTTTTAGCATAGCTTAGGATACATCATTGAAGTGAACTACTAGACCATTAGCATTTCTCCCAAAAAAAAAAAAAAAACCAAAGTGTTTCGATATTTTTGACTCTTCTATAGTTACATCGTGCACTAAGACAGATTTTCTAGGCTGATATGGCTAGGACCTATACTCTCATTCCTGCGTAATAATCAAGAAACTTCACCTCCATACCATGAGTGGAGCATGCGCGATGACTACACAAACTTTAGTCCCGGTCACATTGGAAGCTGGGCACTATTTTCAGGCGCTGCGTCATAACATTACGCCTGCTGCACTCATGGTACGGCAGTGAAGTTTCCTGATTATTACACAGGAATGAGAGTATAGTTCCTAGTCATATCAGCCTAGAAAATCGCAACTTTACATTTTCCGTCTGTCTTAGTGCACGATGTAACTATAGAAGAGTCAAGTTTTAAATAGGAAAAATATCGAAACACTTTGGTAATTTTTTTGGGAGAAATGCTAATGGTCTAGTGCACTTCAATGATGTACTGTATGCTAAGCTATGCTAAAAGTGGTACCGCCAGAACCAGAGATCGACTGAATGGATTCAAAAAAGGTAAAACTCAACAGTTTAACTCTGGGGGAGTTGTAAAATGAGCCTATTTTCAAAAAAAAGTGGAGTATCCCTTTAACAAGGGCACTATCATTCAGTTTCTCCAGGCTAAAGAGCAAATGCTTTGGCAGTGTTTGGCCTGCACATTGACAATTCGAAACCATTTTGAAGCAACCATAAAGTTTTTACATATTGATTACGAAGACAAACATTTTTCTAATGTGCACCGATAAATTATGCACAATAAGCCTACAAACATGTACTAAGAAAAAAAAAAACAAGGTTAATTTTGATTTCATTGTACCAACCCACACTACCGATGATAAAATGTGATCTAAACTCCACCTCCAACACCGCCCTCATTGTTTCGCTGCATCTCCAGGTAGTTTTGGGCTGTGGTCCTTCCGTGTTGCTCCTTTAGGTGGCGACGTAGAGCGGGCTTGTGGGCAAAGCTGACGTGGCAGTACGCGCACACGTGCGGGCGCTCCCCGCTGTGCAGGTTCATGTGGTCGCACAGTGTTGACTTCTGAGTGAAGGTCTTGTGGCACAGGGGGCAGCAGTGGAGCTTTGAAGAGCCGCGATGGACGATCATGTGGCGGTTGAGGTTACTGGAGTGGCTGAAGTTCTTCCCACAGCACGGACACACATATAGCCTGTGTGTCGACAGGGAATGCATGGCTAAATCCTGCGTTGAGGAAAACGCTAATCCGCAATGCTCACACACTACTGGTCCTGTTACGCATGACGTGGATCCCACCACTGCCACGGACTCGTCAGCAGCTCCGCGCTCGTTCGAAGGCGCCCCGACTCCCATCGCTTCTTCCCCGCTGGAAGCTTCCACGCCGAAGTGTGCGGGAGCTCCATCGGCGCCGATCTCTACTCCTTGTCCCTCTCCGGCCCTGTAGTCAACGCGGAGGGTACCGTCGGCAAGATGTTGATTGGACAGGTAATTGGCCCCAAAGTCCGCTCCAAAACTACCCATGATCTCATCTGGGGTTGGAAAGCGCCAAGCTTCCTGGTAGTTACCCAAGAGCTTGCGGTCCTTGAAGGTGTACCGCTTTCTGTGTTTAAAGCCTCTTCCTCTGCCTCCCCTGTGCTCTCCGTTGCGTCGTTTCCACATGCGGCCCGGCCCTCGGAGGCTGTTCCCTTTGGCTCGCCCCTCCATATTGGGCTCATCTATGCCTGTGTCCAGCTGACAGTGGTCGTCTAATACAACGACGGCTTCTCTGTCTTCCTCCCCAGCGCCGGGAGACTTCTCTGGGTCTTGATGTTCATCATTGATGTGCACCTGAAAGATGTCACTTTCATGCCCGTCCTCTCCCTCGAACTGGACAGATCCATCGGATCCTCTAATCTGTCAAGGTGAAAACATAAATGAGTTGAGACGCAAACGAGCAAGCAGCCAAAATAAGAGCTTGAATAGGGAAGTTCAAACTGACAGCAATATGCAGCAATGTAGCAACCAAAAGTAATTCATTTTTCGCAATTCGATGCGACATATCTTGCAATAGGTCTTTATGCAAATATATGCAACTGAGCAGTTATGCGGCTACCCCTTTATTGTGAACATACACAATTTGTCATGATTTTGCTGGCGATGTAGAATTAGAGAACATTGCAATAATTTTAATGAGGTTTTTATATAGCTATAATCGCGATTAATCGCATCCAAAATAAAAGTTTGTGTTTACATAATATATGTGTGTGTAGTGCGTATAATTAATATGTATATATAAATACCCACACATGCATGTATATATTTAAGAAATATGTGCATGTATATATTTTATATATATTTATTTACAATTAATATTACATATTAATATATCAAATATTTATATTTATAACACATTTTTATTAAATATATACATGCATGTGTGGGTTTTTATATATACAAATTAATTACACACACTACACACACATATATTACGTAAACACAAACTTTTATTTTGGATGCGATTAATCGTGATTAATCGTTGCCCATCCCTACTTTCCATTATACAAATGTCAGATCCTTTCTTTTCCCAAAACTCTAGCAATATGTGGTTTTAATAGTGTCTCTATTTAAAGGGTCATTTTAAGTCTTGGTTTTGTTTTTTGGGGTCTACTAAAATGTCTACTAGTTTTTATGATTAAACGTTCAAAAAAACATAATTTTTCACATATTTTATGTTATTGCAGTACATCTTTTCCAAGTCTGTCAGTAATGCTGTTTAGTTCCCATTTCTATGAAGCCCCTCCATAAGAAAAGCACAATGTGCTCTGATTGGTTGGCTGGACTAGTGTGATTAGTTAACTGCTACGAGTGTGTTTTGGAGTGTACAATAATAAACACAACCAGATCTTGCTCCTTTTTTGCTGTTATTGAAAAATTCTGAAGAATTCCCCAAAAACTATTTGTTGCTCAAAATTGTTCAGTGACAATTTTTTCAGTGACAAAATCACGGAAACATGCTTCATATTCGACTATCCATCAACAGGGACGACTACTACAAGCACCAATATCAATGCTTCTAGTATTAGGGCTGTCAGTGTGAAAGGTCCCTCTGCATTTTCCTTCGAGATTAAGACGACATCAAGCAAGAGCATGCATTTCTGAATCAAATCCAACAGATATTTACATGGTGTATGGTCAAATCACTGTCATCTTTGAGAGGGATGTTGGAGAGTTCAGCATCAGCAGCCTGGAGCTCCTTTCCTGAACTGTGTGGATGCAGCGATGCAGTATCAGAAGGAGATGAAATAGATCCCAGTGAATGGGTACTTCCACTGACAATCACTGGCATAGACTGAGGGTCTTCTGATTTCACAGTCTAAATAGATCGTAAGAGTGACAGACAATGAATGAACAAGAGTGGAAATGGATGGAGGGAGTGAGAAAGAATTGCAATGTCGCACTATGTTTTTGTATTACAATAAGTAATTATATAGATAGTTCAGCCAAAAATACAAATTCTTGTTTTTATTTAGTCTAATGTCGACCCTCGTCTCATTCCAATTCTGTTATCATTTACTCTCATGTCGACCCTCGAGTCATTCACGTGCCGTTGAATAACATGGGGAGGCGGGGTGTATGTCATTTACTAGGACCGCCACCGGGGGGTGATTGAGACGTTTTGGCTTCACTTCTCAGGGCTTGTGTGCGGCATGTTTGCTCCTACTCAAGGGGGTAATCAATCAACTGGAAACTGAAGTCTCCCCAGGGGCCGCCATTGGTTAAAATGTCTTGACCTGCTGTTAGCTTTCCATTGACTCCCATTCATTTTGGCATCACTTTGACAGTGAATAACTTTACATCTGAGGTGTTTAAAGGAGCTGTAAGATTGTGGCCAAAACTGGTACTGCAGTCACTTTCAAATTCCTGTCAAATTCCTCGAGGTTGCCAGATAGGCTGCAGGATCCAACATTTTTTTATCCGACACGTTTGTAGCTGCAGTTGTGGTAACTAGAGCAGAGCTGGCAACCCGGATGCCACAACACCACTGACTTCGTGATTGGTGGAGGGTGGAGCATCAGACCAAAACACAACATGACAACATCAACATCAGTTGAGGGCTGCAACTTCACTTTTTAAATGACAATATCCTGGCTGGACTACTGTTGTCAGTGATATAAGTATATGAAATGAAGATGATTTCATAATGTCTAATGACATATCAGGGCCATTTTATGATTATTTGAAATACAGCTCCTTTAAAGACTCCATTTGTCCATTGTTTATTTCTAAAGAAACACGACAATGTATAAAAGGCACCCTTGTATCTTACGTTATGGCCCTGTAGAAGCAGTTTTTGTAAAAATACCCTTATTCATCGTCTGGTGTCGTTTAAAGCCCTTTGAAGGTTCACTGAAACTCTCATTTGGACCTTGAACCGTTTGGTTCCCATTGAAGTCCATTATATGGAGAAAATCCTGGAATGTTTTCATCAAAAACCTTAATTTCTTTTCGACTGAAGAAAGAAAGACGTGGACATCTTGGATGACATGGGTGCTCTATCTTGTTTCCTAATCTAGCTTACTAATAAACCTGGGACTGTTACATTAAATATTGTTGGCTCTGTGACTAATTGCTTACATTCCTCTATTGTAAGTTGCTTTGCCTAAAAGTGTCTTCTATGTAAATATACAGAAAAGATCGTCTCCTCCATGCGACGATTTTTATTTCTGGATGAACTATTTCATAAAGAAGAAACACGGTCTGTAATAGTGTTTGAGTTTGGAAAACTCACAATTGGGCTGCGACTCCGGGGCTGCATGTACTGGCTCAGGGCTCCTCTGCATTTCTCCACCACATGCTCCATCTGCAGGTAGCTGGCTGCGGTCAGGTAGTTCACAATTTCTCTGGCACTGAACTGCAGCATCCCTGTGTAACAGGACTGGAGGAGTTCACATACTACCGTCGAGCTGTGCAACATCGACACCTGCTGATAAGAGAGAGCATTAGTTGACAGGATTGCAGAGAAGCGGTAGTAGCAATATATATATCCGAATGGTGAATTTTCAGTTCATGCCAACTTTAAAAATGTGTAAATTCTGTATCACTAGCAATGCCAAACGGAAATGCATAAATATAAATTGATTTCAAACATGTTTCCTGACACAACCCTAGACACTGATTAAGCCAAATTTGCTGTGTTTTGATGCAGTAATGTTCTGATAGCACCTGAGCCAAATAAAAAAAAATTATACATTTTAACCCAACCTGTCTATCAACGAAGCAGCTATTACACCTAAATCAAAATAAAAAAATGTATTGAAATAGGTTTAATGAGTACATGATATTTTATATTCAGAAATGAGAAGTGTCCTTGGATGGATGGATGGATGGAAAGAATGGCCTCAAAATAACTGGTAGCACACTAATTTAGTAAATCCACTACATAAAAAGTACAATGAACCAAAGCAACACCAATGATACAGAAGAAAGATCAAATGGGTCGCTTCTGACGATCCTCGGACTTATCGCATGAGAAAATGTTCACCTGTAGCTCTGATGAGGGGTTCAGGAGAAACTGGTCCCTGAGAAATGCAGAGCAAGCAGCCAGCACGACCTTATGACCCCTGAACATGCGCCTGCCTCCCGCAACGATGGTAACGTCACAGAAGTGCTGCTGTGCCCGCAAGGAGTTCATGTTACTCAGGGTGTTGTCTCCATGCCCGGGCAAACGGAAACTCACCACATCCACATTCATGTTTTTCTACAGGAAGCTGAAGGAAAAAAAACAAAAAAAACACACACACATTTACTTGATATGCAGTATTTTATATAAATACAAACAAAACAAACATCCACACTTATGAATGAATTATTTATCACACTATCCTGTTACTGCAAATAAATTAAAATAAATTAAGGGATTTCCATCAAATAGTAAAAAGCTTTCTGGATAATTATGTTATTTTGGTAACACTTTGGTTTACGGTGACATAGTTACACGTTACTACATGTTTTTACTGTAGTATTACCAGTATATTATGCATAATTACAAGTCACTAAACCAAACATTAGACGTAACTCTATAGTAAGTTGTTTATTAATTTTACTCATTAACTTATTTGACTAAGTACAATGTAACTACGTCATCTTAAAATTAAGTTTAACCGTTAACACTTAAGTTAAGTTACTTTACTGAGTAACTAAATATTTAATTTAACATAAAAAAACGCAGCAGAAACAACATGTCTATGAATATTCTCATAATGTCATTCATTCATATTTAGAACAAAGCAGCAGCAGCACATTTGTTCATTGTTATTGCATGTGTATTACATTGTTGTAAAGTAGCTAACACTGTGTATCGTATTTTGTTCAGACAGACTGTCTAACACGGTCTTCACTACACTACAACCTAATGTGATAAATAACACGAACTTACTTGAAAGCGATTTACTGAGAAGAAATCAATAATACAGAACACAAACACATTTATTGTGCCTGATGATCAATCCAGCTTCATCCACATCACTGGAATAGCGAAAACATCAAACTAAAACACTCAAACTGAACTCGTTTACAAAAGTCTGTTTTTCTGTGTCTAAGTTCGGTCATTCCTACTATATATTTTCAATTTTGTTCCGTGTGTTTTAAACACAGCTAAAATTTTAACACCATGGTTTACACCTAAAATTCGCTGAAATGAAGTCAGAAAACTAAACAGGAAATTTCGCACCCTAAAGACAATTTTCAAAATAAAAGCCCACGTATACAACAGTTTTTCTTGGCGACGTAAAGCTCAATATGGCGGCTGTGCTTCGGTTTAGAGCCAGCCGCTTGATTGATTACTCTACTACAACGCATGAGCTTAAATAACATGTTGTTTATATTTTAGGCATAGTTGTTTTGACGACTTGTATCATTTGTATTTTTAATTAAAATTCAGTAATTTCACTGCTGTCTGTGAATTTAGTTTTAAAATGCCTTGCTTAAATATGTTTTACGTGCTAATAATTTGAATACAATGGGTAACCACATGGAGGCGCTATGAAATCAGGATGGGAAAAGATCGAGACATTTGCAAAAAAAAAAACAAAAAAATAATAATATTAAAGTTAATATAAAACAGAAACATTTCAAAGTCACCGGAAAGAATTGGAATCTCAGTATGTTATAAGTTAATTTCAATGATTAATGTAATGTTATTTACATGGATGGAAGAAGGCTGACTGAAGAATAGAAAACAAAAGACTAATCTCATGAACTAAGATGTTTGTGTCTCCACTCTGTTAATAGTAATTGCATTAATTAAGAGCAGAACAAGCACTTTACTGGTAGAATTTATTAAACATGTTTTCATAATGAATCCATCAGTTACAATGGTTGACTTAAACCTCAATGACTCAAAAGCAAATGACACCAAGATTCTTAAACCGTGTGGTTTTTCACCAGAACTGTAGATGTTAAGAGCCTGATAAGGACAAGATTGATATATTATTAAAAACAACTGATGTAATGACTCAAATTATTCCCTTGAAATCACGGGTGCGTAGCTACTGAATATTTCATAATGACCACAGTAATCATAAATCCCACTGTAATGTTGAGGCATATTTTCTCTTAATCAAACCAGATGAGAAAGAAGATTAAACAGTATTTAAAACACTGTCAGGAACAAGACAAAACACAATTAATATTGATAATACGTCATTTAACACACTTCAAACCACCGCACCCTGGAAATACAATGATGCAGTACATAATCTAGGGTAATGAAATCCATATACATCCAACCCTGTGATGGAAGAATGTGATTAGTAACATCACTTTGATTGATCAATAACTCAACCAGAAAGTGCTAAAGCTATGATGTTGTAAACTACACTGTACAGTACAATGACACTCATATTTGTATATATATTCTTCCCAATGTACAGTTTGCACATCAGATTTACACAGGTAAACATCAAACGTACAGGATTTAATTATTAATGTTGTTTCCATCCAGTCATTTTAATTCCAAGTTGTACTGCATATTCTTGTCATCTTCACACACAAAGCAAATGGATAAAATATGCCTCAATTGAATTGGATGAAACTGGCATTTGCAATATCCTGTTGAAATGTTTCCCACATGACAGTCACTGAAGCTTGTATTATCATTTGCAGAAGATTACAAAATACAGATATAAAGGCATCAAAATCTACATTCTTTGTCTACATTAAACCAAACTGACAAGCATCCAGTTCTAAATGTAGTAATGAGTTCAAAAGGAAGACCTTAAAGTAATTAATTTGCCACAAAAAAAAAAAGAAAACCTGTGTTTAAATTTGTCAAAATGAAAGGGAATTTGTGGGTTAAAGGCAAGACATTTTGAAATGCACCATCATGCAAGTGAAAACTGCAATTTTATTCTAATTCTGTTCATGAAGCCACCTCTCTAAATTGAATCAAAAGCGAATACCTTTTCAATCGTCAGTATAGTTTAAGTGAATTCAATTAAAAGTGTGAGCAAATTTGACAGGTAATCTGAAGACTATTTCCGTCTAATGAACTGCCACTGAACTGGTAACATTCAATTAGTGTTCATTGGTCCACAAAGAAGCATAAAGAAGTCATACAGGAAAGTGCCGTTCACATTTTTTTTCTGTAAACTCATAAAGAAAGTGCTTAATACTTCTCTCTCCCCCTAGTGTGGCCCTAGAGCGGTCTAATTTTATCATTTATGAGGGACACAAAACCATAAACATGCTGGCAGAACAAAAGGAAACCACATTAAAACCCAAACTGCCACTGCAAAGAAGAACTAAAAATATAACCAATGCATAAGGCTGATTTCAGGACAGATTTGGTAAAAACCAAGGGATGAGCCACTGATGCATCATGTAACATTCACTTGCATAGCAATCTAATTAGAATAAACCTTCATTGATCGGTCAACCCACAGACTGGGCCAATGGGCACAGGTCCGGTGTACAATATCATAAAGCAGGAACTCTAGAGCCAAAACAAGAACTCGAATTTCACAACGGGTCAATTTAGATTGATCTCCTAAAAGTCACAACACAACAGCTTTGAAATAAGATGCTATGTTCACAATGCATGTACAGGCTGGAGATCTTGTGCAACCCATGAGCAATTTTGAACTGATGAAACTAAACTAGTAAAGAAATTTGTCTGAAATGAATCAATGGAAATTTGTAGCGTGACAGTAAGTGTTGTGAAATTATAAGGTAATACAGTTTTTTTATAGGAGGGATACTTGCTCTGGACAGTGTGGAGAGCAGGTTAATAAAAACTTTTGGAGGAAAATGAAGAAGAAACAGAGAGCAGAAAGAATGAGGTCTGTATACTCAATCCATCTTCTCTTTTTGGACCAGTTTGGGTGCGTCAACAAACTCTCGTCCATTGACCACGATGACAGCGGTCGTAAGAGCACTGGCCATTCCCCAGAATAACACGTACGCCAGGGTCTCTGTCCAAGTGTCACCTGATAGAGAGTACAGAAAATGGTAATTATTTAAATGAGGGAAATTGCGTGTACATTCCCGGAAGGAAACTCAAGACTATAATCGAGGGAGTTCAGAAACAGTGATTACTGATATACTGAGTAACTCCCTTTGGAGTGACTTTGTGCTTTGTAACATTGTAGACCTTTTTCATGCTCAAACAGTAACATAACACGCACTAAAAAGCACAATAGGACCCCTTTAAAACTACACTGTGTGATTTTTACCCCCATCTAGTGGTGAAAAGGTATACGACCATCCAGTGAATATTAGTTTCCGTTCCTCTTAATTCCGACTTCGTTTTAACTCCTACGGTGGCCAATGTAGGACAAGATTAACATGGCTTCCAGTTCGACCTCGTCCATGAGTGTCAACTCAAACGTAAATGCAAAATGCGAAGCTTGAATTAACGGGTATGTCCCTCTTTGGCTAATGTACTTTCAAGATGGAGGGGCAACATGGCGACCGCTTACCCGTATGTATTTTCAATGGCATATTATACACTCACGAGAATACTTTATTACTTGAACGAAGTAAATATACATTAATGAGCACATATATTTTTGAAATAACTAAGTGTTTTTAGCTAAGAATAAACTAAAAGAGTTACACAGTATAGCTTTAAAGAGGCTTTTTTTTTTAATTGAGAAATTAAAAACATGCTCATCACCGAAGAGCCGTATTTAAGTCACTGCATGTATAAATTAGATAAATCTTAAATGGATTACCTTTTTGAATAAATTAATGTATGTGGACATAACAAAAATAGGGTCATGTCATTGATCCTTTGCATTAAAATGACCTTACCAGCCATTAAGAGAGAGATGATGCACATGGAGAAAGCCACCACCATAATAACAGGAAGCTGTGGAAGGAATTACAGAGAAATGGCAACATAAAATATGCAGAAAATGACCAGCAGCTGGTGGTGTTGAAATCTAAATGTTAGGACTGCCTGAAGCAGCTTGGACTACATTTATCATGCTATTGACCTCTTTTTATTCGTATTCTCTTAAATGCAGTATGCATAAAGCACTGACCAAGAGGAACTTCCAGTCCTTCTGCACGTGCAGAGGCGTCAAGCCATCAGTTTCATCCACTGTATAGTTTCCAAGGAAGAGATCGATGGAGTCCTGTGGGCAAAGTCAATGACTTAAAATTCACCACAGCAAACTGGGTCTGATTGAAAGACATAAAGACAAATACGTCATACGCACTTGTCTGAACCCGTCTGAGAAATTATTCTTGTAATAACGGATCATTGAGTTCCAGCCGTCCATTACCAAGCCCCAATGGGTCCTCTTCCCGGTTCTGAGGTCAAAGTCGAAGGTTAAAACGGTAGACGTACACAACAGAAGATATTCTCAAAGGAGTGTGGGATGAGTACCTGGTGAAGTCAGTTTTCAGGGCTCCTGTTCCTGCATACTGTTTAGCACAGGCATTGGCATTGTCTGCCCACGCTGAGAAAAAAAAAAGAGTTGCTTTATTTACGGTCGATAACAGGAGAATTTATGTGTATTAAAGTCATTTCTAGAAATATAAACACACCGTTCTTATAAATCTTCTCAAAATCAGCCTGTTCGTCAATCCTCTGGCCTACATGGAGGACACCCATCCTCTGAAATGACATTATTAGCAGTATAAGTTGTTTCATAAATAATGATTTTTTACATTTATAATTCAAGGCAAGGCACTAACAGGCAAAAACACAGTTTTCATGCATCTGTCAATATCTTTAAAGGCTGTTTTCTCTAAATGAGTGTCTGAGTCAGAAAGCTCCACTTCAGCAGAACTTACATAACGCCAACCTTTACAGGTTTATTCCTATCTATATTCTGAAGGTTTTTACAGAGGGGATTATCTAATTTACTGATTTTATACAACATTTTATTCCTATATAATGACAAATGACACATAATGACAAACCAATTGTCACGCACATTATGGATCCATATCACTCATTTGACTGCACAATAGAGCGTTTACACTTCCTAAAAAGACATGACGCATCAAGTTCCTAGTAAGTTTCTTTCACTGACAGAAAAATCCTGCAGAAAGCCACAAAAATCAGTCAGATTTCTCAAGTACGTAAGTGTCCTCAATTGCATCACACCTAGTTAGGGCGAGGCTATTCGTGATGCGGTCTCTTACCTGTAGCTGGCTCTGAAGGGAGCGTCTGGCCAGCAGGCTCTGAATGACGTTGGTGCGGTCCAGGCAGTCCATACAGTTACTGCGGAAGGTTCCAGACTGCTCGGACGACACCTTCCCGTCTGAGCTCACCATAAAGTACCTGCAGAATCAACATTCAGGAACCAGATCAAAGCCAGCCAGTGACGACATCAGAGACCACAGTCCTGATTAAATGACTTGCATATTATCTACACATCAGACTTTCCACCCTCTCTTCACAGACGTATCGTCTTTAGGTCATCTCCAAAAGCTTCTTATGTAATATTTCCTATATAAATGTATAGAAATGACAGAAAGTACAGAAATAAATACAAACCCAAACTCGTCTTGCATATCAGAAACTGCATCAACGAGAATCTGGAGGCGATGCCATCTCATCTTACTGCACTCTTTGTGAAAGTCAAAGGCTATGTACCTTAAATGAAACACAAGTGTCACTACACAGTTAAATACAAGAGGCAAATAGAAAGATCTGATATATGATCATTATATATCTGCTTTTAAGTAAAGGTTAGACAAGTAAAAATATTCATAATGCTACAAAAGATTTCTATTTTAAAGAAATGCTGTTCAACTTTCTATTAATCAAAGAACCCTGGGAAAAAATGATCAGGGTTGCCACAAAATATTACCATAAGTAGCTTAACTGTTTTCAACATTGATAAGAAATGTTTCTGTTCAAGAAAACAGTAAATCAGCATATAAGAATGACTTCTGAAGGATCATTTAACTGGAGACTGGAGTAATGATGCTGAAAATTCATTTTTGCCATCACAGGAATATTTTAAAGTATATTAAAAAAGAAAACAGTTTTTTTAATTGTACTAATATTTCAAAATACTACTGTTTTTACAGTGTTTTGGTCAAAGAGCACACTTCTCATCATGATGATAAATGATTTGAGGCATGTGATTTGACAGTGTAATACTCAGTTTTAAGGGTTTGTCAAAAACCCAAATCCAAGTATGAGCAATAGTAATTGCCTTAATTGCCAAACATGTAAAAAAAAATGTTTATGTACTTGATGAGTCCGTTTTCCATGCTGTTGATCATTTTGGCGAAGGCCTGTTCAAGGGGCAACTCAGATCCTTTTTGATTCACCTACAGACAAAGCAAATATCTTAAGCTTTGTGACCAATGGCTAAAATCTTCTGAAATATTCTACCACAAGAACAAATTACAAATGTATTTACCAAATTTAGAATCACTTGTTTGCCATAAATGAGAACCTGGGATTCAAAATGCCTCCTGAATCCATCCATCTGCAACCAGATAAAATAGACACGTACGATCGATCGATCGATAGATAGATAGACAGACAGACAGACATAATAATACTTTGTTATTATTACTGTCTTCACTATACTATGTGTTACAAGCTTTGGCAATATTGTAATATGTACAGTCATGCCAATAAAGCAATTTGAATTGAATTGACAGACAGACAGACAGACAGACATGATTGATAGACAGACAGACAGATAGACAGACAGATAGACAGACAGACACGATTGATAGACAGACAGACAGACAGACAGATAGACAGATAGATAGATAGATAGATAGATAGATAGATAGATAGATAGATAGATAGATAGATAGATAGATAGATAGATAGATAGATAGATAGATAGATAGATAGATAGATAGATAGATAGATAGATAGATAGATAGATAGATAGATAGATAGATAGATAGATAGATAGATATGTGGTCTTACATGATTGGTTTCGGTGCTTATCTGTGGTTTTGGCTTGTACCTCAGGTTGGGTCTTTGAGACCAAAAAAAGGGCATGGAGCCTCGAGTCTGCGTAAGAGGAGAGTAAAAGAGCAAAATTTGGGGGAATTTTGAAAGGCCAACAACAAATATCCTTCGGTAACACTTTACTTGGCCTCATGACAGCCAATGTCAAAACCAACAAGATGACACTTAATGTAATGTTAACCCATAAAGCTAAGAGGTTTCCTAAGGTTGTTAATTAATCTGCTATGTCATATCTATGACAGGTTGTGTTGTCTTAGTAATGTCAAATGGTCATTACCAAGACACTGACAGGTTATGATGTATTGGTTTGTGTCAAGGTGTCATAACAAAGACATCTCAAACAATGTCATATCTGCATTAAAAATGTCATAATTAAGCAATTACTTTGCTTCAAGTAAAGTGTCACCTATCCTTCTAATAAAGGCCAACCGTTATTTCAACCAACCTGCACAAAGGACGCCCTGCCATTATTGTACTGGACTATCTGTTCTGTCTCAACGAAGTTAGCAGCATGTCCTTCAGAGTCAATGCCTGGGGTGCAGGGGAAAATTATAATATCTGCAGTGAAGACAACCGTGTGCATATGTAGAAAAGCTTGAATATATCAGACCTCTGACATAATATCGGACCCCCGCTCTAAAACAGCTCCGTCTAGAGATGAGGATCCACTGAAACACCTTCCCATTGATGCAGCATGGCTTCATCACAATAACTGGAGCAATGGGTTAAGCCTCAATATCACATGGTATTACATTTAGCAAATGACATGTGCAATCCCCTTGCTAAATTAAATTTATTTGTAGATTATGGATTTTAAACTAATCAAGTCCAATTATTTTTCGTTAACCAGACAGTCAAGGTAAAATAAAGAATAATAATAATCTTAAAGGATACATCCGTGGATGACAGGAAATGCAAATTTATGCAGCTGAAAAGGGGAACCAGTGATTAAGCATGCATGGTTTTCTCATATGTTTAATGTTTTATGTATCCGGAACATTTTAATACCTCAGGCTGTGAGACGATTTCTCTTAAAAGGTTTCCATTCCACACGAACCTCTGGTCTGCCTATGTGGAGAGACGAGAGAAGACCAAAAACTAAACAACTTCCAGTCCAGAGATCCCCTGAGAAGTTATTGTCATTTTGCAAGTCATGATGAACAATGCAACCGAATATGCTCAGAAAGTTGGAACGCACAAAACTTGAAAAGCACAAAATCTGGCTTTGAAAACAAAGCATGAGGGAAAACAGTGTGTGCCCGCATGTCAGCAAGTGCTCTTGTAAAACAAGAGCTTTGCAAATCTAGTTTACAAAGAGATGGCACGTCTCCTGTGACGGCCCTTTATTGTAAATTAGGGATGTGGATTGAGACAATGAGCTGACCCTGCTGTGCTCTACTTCTCTCTCTGCCAATGAAACCTCAAACGGCTCTGTCTCTCTTCTGCCATCATCACTCGCTCACTCTCATATGAAGTCTCACCCTCTCTAGCAGGCTCATCTCCTGGAAGTCCGGGCTGGTGTTGGACAGGCGCTGTTGGGTGTGGGTCAGGTCATAGTCCGTGCAGAAGTAGAAACCGTCTGTATTGAGTACACTGCTAATCATAGTCAGAAATGACTTGTTGTCTTGCATCTGTGAAAAGGAAACAGCCATTGAATAAGATTATATGCAATACATGATTCGAACAGAAATAAGACTAGGGTTGTTCTTTTATTACTTCATTAAATGGGGCATTTTGGAAATTTTGTTCATGAAAAAGTAAAGAAAGTACAGGATATAATGGAGAGAAGATGGGGGTGAGCAATAATTAACTTGATATTAAAACCTAGCAATATAACCAAAAGTAAACCTTACAATTATGGTCAATATGATAGAATATATAGATTTGTTGTTTAAAAAAATTAACTATTAAAAAGTCCTTTTGAAAATGTCCAAATTATTTAAAGGTACACTTTTGAAAATTAATATTATGATTTATAAATGTTTTTACATTTGAACAGTAGCAGTTGAAACACACATAAAATATAAAGATAAGGTAAATACAAACATAAAGTATTATTTTTTACGAATGTATTATGCATTAATAATAATTAAATACATTGATAATATATTAATTCTATTTGTATATATTTTGATTTTATTATTAAGGCAAGACACCCCAGGTAAAAATGTATAGATAGACACCAAACTTCCCCAGTTAATTAATACTATTAAGAATTGAAAAAAAATGCACTAATTTGCATACAATTCTAGAACAAAAATCTGAACATTGGATGAAGTCAGGTTATAAAATTGACATATTAGAGTAAAGGTTTTTACAGAGGGGATTTTGGATATTACTTCATATCCCTCTATATATCAGAAAATACTGTCAACGGACAGAATTGATATATATTTAGGAATAAAATATTGTATAAAATCAGTAAATTAGATAATCCCCTCTGTAAAAACCTTCAGAATATAGATAGGAATAAACCTGTTAAGTTCTGCTGAAGTGGAGCTTTCTGACTGTGTTTTTGCCTGTAGTGCCTTGCCTTAAATTATAAATTTAAAAAAATCATTATTTATGAAACAACTAATGATCATCAATAATACTACTAATAATAAAACAATTGTGTATATTATTAATGTATCATTAATATAATTGAATGATCTGTTTCTCTCTTTTCAGCTAATTTTTTTTTATATTTTTATTGAAAATTCATGAAAAAAAAAGACTTCTGCTAAATTTATAATAGACGATAGGCAAATTTGGGTCACAATATAATTTGGGACAAATCTGAACTGGCATCTCTCTCATAAACACTTAAAGGCCCAGTTTCACAGACAGGATTTAGATTTAGCCAGGATTAGGTCTTAGTTCAATAAGAATATTTAAGTAGCTTTTATAAACATGCAAGCATAAAAAAAACACTACTGGTGTGCATCAAGAGACCTTATATTTAAGATATATTCTTGCAAGTTGCTTTCAGTTAAAACAGCTCAAACATACATTTTAGTCTTGTCTGTGAAACCAGGGCAGATCTGCTAAAGCCATGACTTTGAACATGACAAACTTCTTTTTTTTTTTTTTTTGTCAAAGTCTGATGGTAATTTTGTAGTTGAGGTTTATGCACATATATTCAAATCATGCATGTTCACAAGTTAATATGCTCCAATGCATCACACAGCACTCACGGAAATATTACTTTGGCACAATTCATTCATTCTTACTGAAAACAAGCTTTGCTAAATGTGCAGGTGCCAAAACTATGCTCTAGGCCAATGGCAAGACTTCAAGTCTGTGTATATCCCTGCGGTCAGTGATCACTAGCCTAAGCTCTGACTCTGTGAATGGGGTGGAATAGGATTGAGTCCTCAGCAGAAACTTTTACAGTTATTCAATTATGCTCATCTCAATGCCCAAAAATGCAATTCATTATCAAAATTTCACAATATTTAACATATATCATTATGTAGACAATTCATGCATGGAATCAAACAGATTAGTAAACGTGTGGCAACTTGATCTCAGTGTCTTACTAGTGAGGATAGAATCATACTTTGGTTGCAAACAATGATGAGAATGCAAAACGTCCTTGCATTTTCTCATTAAATTGTGGTCGGGCATATTTTGAGACAAAACAATGCAATTAGACTCGAACCCTTCCTTCCTTTATTCTTCTGAAGGTTAAGAGGTGTTTGGAGTACTTTATCGGTCTAGTTAGTCAAGCCTTCCAGGCACTTTTTCTACTCTAGCAGGAAACATTGCCTGTGCCCATTGCTGTTCTACTCACCGTCTGTATCCAAAGCCAGCATTTCAGCCGAAGTCTTAGCCTTGCTAAATAATGCAGCAAGTATACAACACTGTAATGAGATATCACTGAGCTCTGAGCATGGGCTCAAATGAAAAATTTACAGTACGAGTACATCCCGCTTTCACAAACTGGGGCTAAATCTGCTGTGTTGTTATCACAGCACTTCTAAGTAAACTATAAATAGAAAAAAGGCATAGCAGGAAACCTTTGGTTACGACTTTGGTTACGACTCATCAAACAATAATTGACATTTAAGGCCCACTTTCTATTCAAGGTGTCACAAACATCAGCATTAGACTGAAAGTTGACGTTAGGGACTTTGATGACCTGAATATCTGTGAGGTGCAAAATGGTCTTCTTATAAGAAATCACATCAAACTCCACCGCTTTCCACACAGTGTGGCCAAACAGGTCGCCCACTTTCCTCTTCCGGGTGATGACTATGAGGTACATCCCTGAGAAGCCAAAAAAAGTCATGCGTCACGGTAAGCAAACATGTACGTGATACAATTAACGTTCTGAATTCTACTGTATGTGGAACATTATAATATGGGAAATACCAGCCACAAGGCGAACTGTTCCCATGATTCCACAAATGGGCCTGGTTACGCCTGAGGGGGGGATGTCCTTAATACCTTCAAGAAGAAAAAAAAACATTAATGCACCATATAAATAACAGTAACACATTTTGCAGATTGGGGAGATTTAAAGAAGTCCTATTACGCTTATTTTCAACTTTATTTAGTGTGTAATGTTGCTGTTTGAGCATGAAAAAGGTCTGCAAAGTTATAAATTACAAAGTCACTCTAAAGGGAGTTATTCAGTATATCAGTAATCACTGTTTCTGAACTCCCTGAAATGACTCGACTGTAGTCTTTTTTCTGGGAATATACATGTCACAATATCCCTGATTGAAATCATTTCCACACAATTCATGCATAAAAATTCAGGCCTGGTTAATTTGCATTAGTATTGAGTTGAAACTCGTGATTATGGTAAGGCGTGTGACATTTCCGAAAAATCAAAGTGGTTGACCAATCACAACATACTGATCCAGACAAACAATCAGAGCACATTGCACTTTTCAAAAGAGGGGCTTTAAAGAGACAGGATTGGGAACTAAACCGGTTTCCCCAAAACGTTCTTATCGCTAAGTAGCTCTTAACCTATTCCTTAACCTCTCTCTCTTAACCTTAAGGCATGATTTCCGACACGTTCGTATGCAAAGTATATCTTCTGTAAGTCACACTTAGCTGGATTCGTAAACTCTCTCTTAGCGTCGTTTGAGCTCAAGACGCCAGTCGCCGCAACTGTGCAGCAGTCTTTAGAAATCAGCGCAGCGCAGTACAAGTCAAAATATGGTATGTTGACAATGTCGTGGCTCAACAATGATTTTATGTTCTGGACATTTTAGGACTAATAATAAAATATGTTCGCAATGGATACAGGCCTATTTATAAAGTTTACTTTATTTGGTATCAGAACTAATATGGTGGTAGCCTAGGCTATTTCGTAATGTCACTAAAGCGTGTAAATCGGCTATCACTCATGATAATTAAAATCTGGCAAACAATTTGGCTCTAAACGGCTAAGATCTGTAAATGTGTTAGCATGGTGGTGTCCAGTAAGCGACCAACTATGGCAGCGATCCAACGTTTCCTACTGAATCAAGAGTGAGTGAGAACATATTACTGACAATTTGATCATATATTTAATAGTCTATATTTTACTGACAACTTAAACTATATTAAAACAAATGTTACTGGAATAATTTGAGGAATGTTTCATTTGCATAGAACATGTTGTCTTTCTTAAAGGGATACTCCACTTTTTTTGGAAATAGGCTTATTTTTACCATTTTCGAATGCATTCAGCTGATTTTCTGATATTTAGAAGAATATCAGTAACCAGACAGTTTCTGGTCTCATTGACTTCCATAGTAGAAAAAAAAGTACTATGGAAGTCAATGAGACCAGAAACTGTCTGGTTACTGATATTCTTCTAAATATCAAAAAAAAAATTGGCCCAGAGCATTAATGAGGTGCTGCAACAATGTAAAATGTGTAAAAAAAATAATAATATATATATATATTTTTTTTTTTACATTTAAACATACCTCAAAATCAAAATCATTTAGACCTCAAAATCAAGTCATTAAAAAAAGGGCATAATAGGGGTCCCCTTTAATATACTTCTCTGCTCCAGCATAATGAAGTAACAGCGCTGTGCTCTACAATTTCTGGGACCTATCTTTAACAAAGCAACTACCTTAAATGCAAAATATCACAGTGACAGTGATGCTAAAATGTCACTTTGCAGGGAGGTCAAGATTAAAACAGAAACTATGACAAAATCTAAATCGCTTCCATGACTTTTAATCAATGCCAGTACACTTTGAAAGGTCTGATTCTCTTGCAAGTTGAAGCTCTGCATAAATGTCAGATCACAGCAGCCCATACTATAAATCTTTCACTGTACTTTTTATATGGACAGAGAAATGAGGCAACCTCAGGAAGACAAACTACATTGTATATGAGATGTTTTATATGCTATTCGCTTTTAGTAATCCTGTTATTGAAATTTGGGACATTTTGAAGTATAGTTTAAACACCCTAGTTTGGTAGTTTGCCAATTGTTTAGCAATATATAATAGTTTGGGGTTGGTAAGATGTTTTTGAAAGAAGTCTCTTATGCTCAGCAAGGATGAAAAATAAAGTAAAACTGTAATATTATAACACTTTAAAATAGCTGAGATATGAACATAAAGTCTGAGACTTTTAGACAATTTTTGGATTTGATATGTAATATGATGCTGGGGTAATCCTATATTAGACAAAGTTGATCAAACATTTTCAGTAGTTGTCCTGTAAAACATTTGTGCTTTATGCTTTAAAAAAAAATATAGGACACCAAAGATTATTATAACAGAATGGGTCATTTTTATAAAAAAATTAAATGGAATACAAAGTATTTAGACTGGCTTCCAATCCTATTAGTCATCAAACCGTACCTGCAAGGGTCATCTCGGTGGACACCCTATCAATAACCAACACGTCATTAGCTCCATCATCACAAGCCTCAATGTAGAACTTCTCAGGTGTTGCATGCCTATGAAAAGCAGAAAAGACCAAAATAAGCAATCATGTTTTATTTTTTAAGCCCAACTCTTTCTGATTAAACCGAGAGCATCACGTCTGAATCTCTTCTCATTGTGCTGGTGAACAAATTTTACCTATATAAAACAAGGGGTCAGGGTTTGGCTGGTTAGCATGTGGAAGTTAGCTAGTTCTGCGTTCTGGTAGGAAATTGCAAGATTATTGAAAATGTGCTAAAGAGTACTGAGTGAAGACAAACAACACTGAGAAGCTTTTGACCATTCAAAAGCTTTCACAAGACGAAATATTGTCGGAAACATCATAGCTATAAAGACAATCTCATCTCAGACCATCTGGAGAGACCAGATATCAGCAGTGTCATAAATCAGAAATTAAACACTTTTTAATTTCAGCTGTGCATATTTTTATAAAGTTGAGACGAGATTAGAGAAAGATTGGATTATCTCTTTGTGCAAGTTTCGACAGTGTGATGAGTTTGAGAATCTGTTTCAGTAACACATCCTATGTGTGTGTGTCCCACTTTTATGACTGGAGTCTTCCTTCCTTGCTAAAATGCTGAGCAACCACTTAACGTGTCGGCAACGAGGAAAGCATCCTGTGCTTAACCTCTGCCTCATTAACCATTAGTGCATAATACGACTGAGGAATTTGTCAGTATGTTAAGATGACACAACAACTTGGTATTTTCATAATTCCCAGAGCCAATTGATCAGGTAACACAAGTAAAGGCAACTATAGAACTGTGTCTAGGGTTATACTTTATTTTAAGGTGATTTACACGGTACAACATGTACTTGCATTAAATTATGCATAATAATTACCAGTAAACCAAACATAAACCTTACCGTAACTCTATAGTAAATACATGTAGTTAATTTATATTACTAATACTAAGTACATTATACTAAGTATTTGAGAGAGTCGAATGTAACTACATCACTTTAAAATAAAGTGTAACCATATACCGTGTCTCGTGTCAGTATGACAAAACACACAGCCACAATAAATCCTGTATTGTGTATATTCTGTATCATGTCATGTGTTTATTGAAATTTGTATCGTGTACATTTCATGTACATGTCATGCCTTGTAAAGTGCACTGTCTGAAGTACCAAAGACTTTCACCCACCACTACATTTCTTTGTTTTAGTGGTGAGAGAATAAAGAATCAAAATGGGTAATGAGTCTAAGCACACACAGTGCTGCTTATGGTGCAAGGTTTAATGCCTTTATAGTTTTTCTGCAATACCACTGGCAATGTTCTTTTTATTGTGCAAGAGGCCATGCATAAGAGTCAAAGGCTTACTGTACATCTAAAATAAAGTAGGCTATACAATAATAAGGGCACATTTCATAATTAAAGCTGATGCAAACAATCACTTATATTTTGGTTTTTAGGACACATAATGGTGAACCTAAAAGACTGTAAAGAACATGTCTGGGGTCACTACAGCAAATAAAATAAATACATTAAATAAATAATAATTAAATCAAATAGCATTTTTTTAGCAATACATTTAAAATGTTTGCATTGTAAAATTATTATGACAATTAAGCACATTTTATCATTACTGTGATGTAAAAAAAATCATTATAAAAGCAATTTAAAAAAGTTGTGAAACGTACAGAAAGACACATCATGGTAGTATTTTGTTTCTTAAAATATATTTTTTTTTTAATCGAGATGAAACAAAAGTTGCGATAGTCTTTTCTTTTCCTATTGTGACGTGAAACAGCTTCTCGAACAAGAAAAAATGTTTTGTCCGGGACTTAACTCTGCCCATCGCGATTGGTTTGCTATTGCTGTCTCCTGTGATTGACAGGTTGTACCATCGTCTCACCAGTAAACAAAACTAAAGAGATGTCATTGTCAGGACTGAAAGGGGAAGTTATTTTGATTAAAGATTTCATGGTGACTTTAAAGTACATAGAGACTCTTATGGGCCAAATTATGTTCCTTCTGACATAATGGTTTTATTGAAGGGAAAAAAAGCCCATATAAGATTTTTTTGTCATGAAAATAATATCCTTGAGGAAAAAAAAAGGAAAAACACGTTACTCAGTGACTCAGAATTTAGACAAACCACTGTAACGTATATCAGTGTCTGATAACCAACCAACAGTCATGTTGATGTAAGGTGTGGGCTAGTGACATTCCATTCAGGTTTACTTCCCTTTCAATGGTGCCTGCAGTTTCACCTCTTAAATGAAGCACAATTTTAACAGTATAGATACATACCAAGTCATACTAGATATTTATATACATATCTAATGGTTCTCGGTGGCTTTTTCTTATATAATGTAATATTTCAAAGAAATAGTAGATGTCATACTGTACAAAAAAAGTGTACAGCAGGAATTGACTGAAAGGGATTAACAGTTTAACGGCAGCTTTACACAAATGCAGCACTGAAACAAGATCACTGTGCTTCAGTGCATTTTAAGCAGACAAAAATGAGCAACTTAGTCTGCATCTAATCCAGACCCACCACAGTCTCATAATAAACCTGTGAGCTGCCTAGACAGCATTTGGCGCATCACAGGTGTGTTGTATTGGCTAAATGCAGTGAAAATGTTCGGCTCGAGCATTTTTTCTAGACAGGCAGCTCAATGGGTTTTGATACACAGCCAATCTGAACTGTCTATGAACGGCTTAAGCCTGTACAGCTTGCACAACAACATAAAACTGACCTGTACAGACAACCACACACCCTGACAGCGCACACAGACGCTGTCATTTAACAAGCTGACATTCTTTAAAGTGACACTAAGCACTGTATGGGTTTATATATGTCACTGTGCTCGAATAAAAGTTTCAACTTACAGGTTGAACCTCTCGTAGGCGGTCGCCATCTTCACTTCCGGGTTTGGTCAATCCGACGTGACGTATATGTGGGAGTGGTTGCCGGAAGTTGGGGCTTCCGGTTCTGACGTCACGGTGCAGGTTGGTTACCTCATTTGCCCCTAAAGTAAAGATCCCACTAGAGTTCGTATTGATCTCATTTTATATACTATTAGGTCTGTATGTATATAGGCTATTAATGCTTAGTTTGTTGTTAAGCTTTTTATTTTGCAGTGAATTCTTCATCTTCAAGACACACTCATACTAAAGTATTTTTAGTTGAAATGTCTCAAACATTCCGAAACCCATTTCTGCCACACACACACACACACACACACACACACACACACACACACACACACACACACACACACACAAATCATTCACGAGAAAGCCTTATAGGCATCACAGTTATGACAAATTATTAATTAAGGCATAATTATGAAATAAAAAGTTGACATAATATATATATATATATATATATATGATATAATATAATAATATGACATAAATAGTCAAAATACTTACATTAATAATTAATGATATGAGAAATTCAAACTTGACATAAAAAGTCGAAAGAATTAGATTAAATCATAATTGTGACAAAGTCAATTATCTCTTAATTTTGACTTAGTATGTGATTATTTTGACATTTTATCTAATTTTTCTCATTTTATCTCGTTATTTTGACATTATCTTTATTATAAATTACCAAAACAAGATTTTTTTTCTTATGTAGCTTCCATAGTCTCAATAAGCACTACACATTTCTAAGACATTGCGATCTCATTTTAGTTTAATTATTTTATTTTTATTTCGAATGTAATATTTGTCTTTGTTTTAACAAAGTGCTTCAGTTATGTGTTTAAATAAATACATAAAATACAATCCAATCCAAACATAACACAAGTGGACAGTTTTAAAACACACACACATACACACAAAAAAATCATAAAAACAGTGTCTCCCACAAGTAAAAAAAAAACAAAAAAAAAAAAAACATTTACACACATGTAGTATTGTGCAATGTACTGTATATGAAAAATGCAAGTGTAAAGGTGATGATACAAGAGGCAAACGGGCTGCCAGGTGAGACACAGGGCCCAAGACCGATCTAAAGTTTCCAGATAGAAACTTGTTGCCCATCTTCAATGGGAAAGCCCCCAAGCAACATTGCCTGGCAACATGGGCTATAGCTCAAAAAAGGTGTCCCGTGACCCGTGTTCATCAGACTTTAAGCATGTGCGGATTGTTGGAAGGTCACCTGTATGTTGTGTGTGTATGCTTTCCATAACTATTAAAATTTAACAATCATTAAAAAAAATCAGTCCATTAATTATTTAACTTTCTGCATATAACATAGTCCCCCACCCACAAACCCAACCCAAAGATGAGTCACAAGGCAAGGGTAACCCCCAACTCAGAAAGGTAAGCGTAGTTTCACCTGCAAAGGAAGCCACAACAGGATGTTTCCATCATTGCAGATTAGCACGTAAGATTACATGATCGAATCAAAATATATATATATATATATATATATGTACAGTACTGTTTAAAAGTTTTGGGTCAGATTTTCATACTTTTATTCAGCAAGGCTGCATTATATTCTTTAAAAGTGATAGCAAATGCATTTATAATGTTACAAAAGATGATGTAAAGATGATGAAAAGAAATGCCATTGTTTTGATCTTTTTATCAAGAATGCTGAAATAAATGTATCACAGTTGACACAAAAGTTTAAGCACAACTGCTTTCAACATTGATAATAATAAGTAATGTTTCTTGAGCAACAAATCAGTATATCAGATTGATTCTGAAGGATCATGAGACTTGAGTGCTGAAAATTCAGCTTTGACATCACATCACAGGAATAGATTTCATTTTTCTATGTATTTGAATAGAAATCAGTTGTTTTGGATCGTAACAATAGCCTATATCACTAAATGATCAATCTAATCAAATAAATGTAGCCTTGGTCACATTTGTTCAAAACAAAAATGTCTCACATCATGTGTTACGACCGCAGCCGCAACACAATGAAGCCAACAAAGCTCAACTCAGCTCCATAGGAAATTTATTACAAAAAAATACGATATAGACATTCATCAAAAATAATACAAAAAAAAAAAAAAATAGAACACAACGAAGGAGGACAGGAAGCTGCCGGAGAACCTCGCCCGCTCAGATTTGACCGCTTGGACCTCTTATGCCAAACATCCACGAAATCACAGGTGCCGTTGATCAGTCCCTAATAAGGAAACACACAACAAGAACACTCTCGCCCCCTAGAGGACAAACACAACAGAACAAGTGAAAATCACAAATACATGCACATGTAACATCATGCAAGAAATCTATAGCACATCGAGTTAATATCAAACCAAAATTAAACAAAAACAAAAAAAATCCAGCATTTTGCAAACAAACTCGACCTGCTTTGCAAAGGAAAACTCGTCTTGCAAACAAACAGAAAGTTATAATGAATTACATCTAATTAACCTTTTTGCGGTTTTGTACTCAAGATTAGCCTTGCAGTCATGAACGCATGAACTAATTGTTAAGCATTCGTCGATGAGAGCATATGACGTATTTTAGATATATTTTTAAGATGGGAAATTGCGGTTTTACGTGACTTTCAAATGCAAGATTGCTATCAAAGATTGCTTCGTCTTATTATTTCACCAGTGCCCTGTTGTTTGCTTTGTATGCAACCCCATTTCCAGAAAAGTTGGGACATATTGTAAAATGCAACAAAATTCAGAATCTGCACAGGATCCTATTGCAATGTTTCTTTATAACAATTGATTTAGGTTATTATGTTTAATGCAATAACATGATCAATGATAAAGAGATTTCCGCAAATACCTGTCAGATCAACATGCAATCTAAGGAAGTTTTACTTTATGAGATAGTCAGATGAGTGTTAGATTAGTCAGATGTCTGAATTCCCCTCATCTTTCAACAACCCAGCCCATCAGTGTCAGATTCTGTAAACAAATAGGCCTATGTGGGAGAAGAGATGTCCGTTTATCCCATGATGCTGCAAATGGAGGAAGCTGGGGGTCACATTGTGTTGTTACACCAAACATGGCTTTTTTTTTCATGAAAGCTGCCGTAATGTCAATATTCAAGGAGTGAGCATGGCATCCCATGACCAAACTTTTTAATCTGTATTTTAATTTCCCAGTTTCACTTCCTTTAAGGAAGCTATAACAATATCTTTTAGTGTCATAATTGAGGAGAATGTAATTTCAGGGGAATCTTTTATGTGCTGTGACTGAAACACAAGTTTATTGTAAATATCCCATTGCCTGATATTCACGTTTATATACTGATAGAGAGATCAATTTTAAAAGATACAACTATCTATATTTCTATAAACTTATAAATCAAATTAAGAGTTATGTGACCCAGTCCCAGGCCGAAAGAAAAACATTTTTTTTTAGTTCAGTACTTACACTGAAATGTGACCACAGAGATTCAGTACACTATTTTTAAACGTCCTACTTTTAAGTTCTCCATATTCAGTAGAAGCCTACGTATCTTTCACATCTTTACACCCTCATGCGGTATAAAACTTGAATCATTTTGCCCATCAGAGTGAATACACTGGAAATTAAATACATCTCTTTCTTGACACAAAGTGGTTGGTATTATGGCATAATACGCGTAATTAAACCCACATACACCTGTAATGTTTGAGTAAAAATGACAAGGACCAAAACTTGTTCTAGTGCTCTAAATGCAAAATAGCATATTATTGTTGATGTTGTTCACTTTATTTAAACGATTTATTTTCATTTAACACCTTTCTATCAGGTTTCTGATTCAACTGGGATTGACTTGAAACGATTACACTTTGATTTAAAGGATTAGTTCACCCCAAAATGAAAATTAAGTCATTAATTACTCACCCTCATGTTGTTCCAACCCTGTAAAACCATCGTTCATCTTGGGAACACAAATTAAGATAATAATCTGGATCACTCCTCCATTTGCGCGAGAACTGAAGTAGTTGAAGGAGATCGCGATTCTCGAGCATGCGTTGTGGAAATCTCTTGAACTCTCGTCTCAGGCCTACAAGGAAGAAAAGGAATAGTCGAATAAAGTCGTTATTTTTGTTTGTTTTTTCGCATAAAAAGTATTCTCGTCGATTGATAAACGTATATGAGCCACTGTTGTCACATCATGGAATATTTAAACATTTTCTTCATTGACTTTCTGGGTCACGTTTCGACCCATAGGAGCCTATGTAGCAGTCTCTCAAATTTAATCAAAAATATCTTCATTTATGTTGCGAAGACGAACAGAGGTCTTACGGGGTTGATAGAGCATGGGGGTGAGTAGCCTAATTAATGAGTTAATTTTCATTTTTGGGTGAACTATCCCTTTAAGGGATCGAAACTTGCTGGCCTAGAAAAGTTAAAAACATTGCTAAAGTAGTCCAATTCACGATGGGAGTGAGGGGGGACCAACACAGCAGACATTCAGAGGCTTTTAAGCACAGACAAGCCTTTACACATCACACATCGGTATCTATCATCTGAAGATGCATTATAGGCTAATTAGCCTGGAAATACATCATCAGCATCGTCTGTTGTGATCTGACACAAAGACAGTAGTGGTTGGATTTGGGTTTTTATTACTGGAGGGACAAACTGAACATCGTCGAAACGGACAAATAAACACGATGTCGTCGGAAAAACACGGTAAAATGACTATTTTATGTAGGCTATTTGGTCAGATCGCATCTAACTAAATAAATTCATGCAGCTGGAATACTGATTAAATCAAAGGCTTCTACACTTACTGCTCAAAAATCATAAAAACATTGATGTTGTACTGGTAAAAAGTTATCGTCTGAGATAAATAGTCAGAATAATTCCTCCTCTATCCCAGATTCACGCTGTGAGGCCCATACAAATGTTAATTGCACTTATTCTTTTGTAAACTTTCAATCATGTCACGATGAATACACAAAGGAAATTGCCATATCTCATTTACACCGGAGGAGGCATTTTTGAGGAAAAAACAGTGAACAGAAAGCGGAATGTTGCAACAAACAGAAAAATCCATTGTAAACTTTTGGATTTATTCTCAATTGTCATCAGATTTTTGTAGAATATGTGAAATAAATGTATAACTCTAGTAACATGTAACAAGGACTATAAGTATATATATTAGTGCTGTCAAATCGATTAATCGCAATTAATCGCATCTAACATAAAAGTTTTGTTTACATTATGTGTGTGTGTGTATATTATTAGATTTATTTATCTGGTTGGGTGTGTAATGTATACTGTATAAACACACACAGATATTCATACATATATACAATATATATATATATATATATATGTGTGTGTGTGTGTGTGTGTGTGTGTGTGTGTGTGTGCGAACACACAAATAACATATAAATATAGATATAAACACAAATGTTTCTGTTTGAGGCAATTATGTATGAAATATGGTCACACTCCAACTGAATATATCACGAATGATGTCACACTGAAAACTATAAACATGCCCATAAAACAAGAGCTTTATTTTTATAGATTGTAATTTCCTTTCTAGGTTTAAGTGTGTGTGAGTGTAACTCGTGGTTTCTCCCCTCCATCTCATTCTACCGCTTACTTTTCTCCATACTACTCTGACATCACTGGAGTTCCCCTGGTCTTACAGTCCCCAAGCTTTAAAAAGAATGAAGAAACAGTATTTTCAGAACAAACAGTGACAGACCAACCGAGCAAAGCACCGAAGTGATAAACTGTGCTGAGAAGACTTTACAGAATCTTTTAAAAAGCATTTTGGGAGCATCTGCATACATCTTTCGGAGAAATAACAGACAATAATGATGGAGCATGACAGTGAAGTATTGTTGGGTCTTGAAGAAGGGACGCTGCCTCTACCAAGGGTGATGGTGTCGAGGAGGAAGGCCGACTCTTCAAAGTCAAGCAATTGGCGAGTGTGTGGTGTTTTTCTGGCTGTGACCCTGTGTGCTGCTGCTGCTGTTTGCTTCACGCTCAACAAGGTCAGAATCTTGATCCGAATACATTACATTATCATAATTTCATTTTTAGATAGTTAATCATTTGTCTCTTGTTCTCTCTATAGTCTCAGAGTAATCAGGAAAGTGGAACTGGTGAGTTCAGATACTAACTTTCAGATCCTCTTTGTCCCATTCATACACGCTTATTGTATTTTCTGTGGAACCAAATAAGTAATTTTGTGTCTCTCCCCATCAGGGCTCAGGCTTACGAGAGATCATTTTTCAAAAGCGAATTTCACTTCCAAGGCTGCCATCCATTTAACAGGTAAGCTTGATTCCAAAGTGAATAAACAGTAAAAAGTCTTGCACACCATGTAGGTCTATTATAACAGAATGCATTAAACGTTTCAACTATTTTACATTGTATTATACATTTTAAGTTCAAATACTCATTAGGGCCATATTAAGTCTAAAAGGTGTCTCCAATCTTGAATCAATTGGTTGTGCATTAAAAATTATAGGACGTATGTTATGTTTGTATTTCACTCCTTAGACGGCAACTCAGAAATTGGTTGCAGGTCTGTTCTGATAGAGTCAGGGATGCATAATTAGCATGCTTTTCATATCGTATTCATAGCGCAAAGAAATTCAACTGTCATGCCAGTGCCAATTACAGATGCCAATGAACGTTGTGGTAATGAACAGACATCAACTTCATTGCTTGCATGATGCATGCTCTCCTCCTTGAAAACCATACAAACTAGGCCTATACAAATAAAAGACTACAGTTTATACAGTTTCACTTACAGCAAAGACGAATATAGTTTGTCCATTTAAGTGTGTTGGCTGGCAAAAGCATATTGAAAGTAAGAGACATTAAAAAAAAACTAATTTAATTTGTTTAATTTTAGGGAAAATGTTGTTCAGTGTGCTAACATCAATTAATGCATTAAGTATCAATTTAATGTGCCCACAAATAACTATTTTACCGCACTAATTAATCTAGGCAATTTATAAATATACCATTGTTGATTATTAATTCATATTTGTTCCTATTATAATAACTAATGTTAATTAATGCAGCTTGAAACATTCAAATATTAGTAGCCCATGTGCCTGTATAGCTAAATTGCATTAAACAAGACCGTAAAATAATCATGGCAGTCTGCTTAGCTGGGAATGGGATGGATGTCTAATGTAAAATCTGTACACGTTTTTTCGTATTCTCTTCTATAGGTGCATATAAGCCTAAAGACACAAACCTTGATTGGAAAGTGAACCAGGACCAAGCTTTCTCTTCAGGCGGCTTGAAATTAGTAAATAGGGAGATCATCATTCCTGATGACGGCATTTACTTCGTCTACACCCAGGTCTCTTTCCACATCAGTTGCTCGACTGACAAGACGCAGGGCGACGACGCTGTGTATATAAGCCACGTGGTGAATCGCTTTTCCGATTCCTATGGAAGCAGTAAGTCGCTTTTCAGCGCTATCCGCTCCGTGTGCGAACACACGCCTGACACTCAAGACCTGACGTACAACACAATTTACCTCGGCGCCGCCTTCCAGTTACGAGCCCGAGACAGACTGAGCACCGAAACCACTCCAAATCTCCTGCACCGCGTCGACAATGACAATGGAAAGACCTTCTTTGGGGTGTTTGCTCTATGAACATCGACGTCAAGCAAAACTTGAAAAATAAGAAAAGAGTGGAAACCTGTTAAGAGGCAATTAATATGAAGAGCCTCGACTGGAACGCCACCATTGCTCAGACTGAACTGTTTTATATTAAAACAGGACAAAACTATTTAACTGAAACATATGGATTTTAAGGCGGGGAAATCATGAGCATTTCATGTCCATGAAAGCTGTCCAAGTCATTTCTATTGTTTTGGTAATGTTAAATTATTGTGTAGCCTATTTATTTATTTAACTATTTATTTAACTATTTATTGAAATAATGAAGAACTACTGTAATGAAATTCGAACTGCTGTAATGAAATGTAATAAATCTTAAACCAAATGAACACTCAATCCAGTTAATCCTATTATTAAATCAATTCTAATGAAATTCCGATGTGTAATTTGCAGTTATGATGTCAAGCTGTCTTTGGCTCTACTGAGAGCAAAAGGATGAAACGTTCAAAAAAAGACCAAACAAACTTAGTTTCGCAAGATATTTGTATTAAAATGTTGAAAGCCGGTTCCAAATTGCATTTCACTTGTGCATTTACAAACCCCTCTGCAACAATGTTTCCACTCGCTGACACTGTTTCCTTATCAGAGACTGTGGTTCAGTGAGGGGAAACTCCCTTGCATGCATTATATTAGGGTCACGTAGAGTAGACATGTTTGTGGTTACTCTAAGCTTGTCTGTGAATCTAACCAACAATTGGTAAAAACAGCGGGTTATGCTTCATAGTGGTGTTCATTTGTCATTATCTATCTCTATCTGATGTTTAAATTATTGAAAGCACTGATGTTCATGTGGTGAAATGCTGCTGTTAATGAAACCTACACAGAATGACCGTGGGATTCAAAGCCACCAGTGTGTGACTATAAAGTAGATGTTTTTGAGACATAATGTAATGTATTATGATAGAGGTAATTCTCTTGCCTATACAGCTATGAAATACCAATTTATAATTAATAATAATAATAATAATAATTCGTTACATTTATATAGCGCTTTTCTGGACACTCAAAGCGCTTCACATAGAAGGGGGGGATCTCCTCAACCACCACCAATGTGCAGCATCCACCTGGATGATGCGACGGCAGCCATAGTGCGCCAGAACGCTCACCACACACCAGCTTACTGGTGGAGAGGAGACAGTGATGAAGCCAATTGGTGTAGATGGGGATGATTAGGAGGCCATGATGGACAGAGGCTACTGGGCAAATTTGGCCAGGATGCCGGGGTTACACCCCTGCTCTTACGAAAGACATCCTGGGATTTTTTATGACCACAGAGAGTCAGGACCTCGGTTTAACTACTCATCCGAAGGACGGTGCTCTTTTTGACAGCATAGTGTCCCCATCACTTTGCTGGGGCGTTAGGACCCACACAGACCACAGGGTGAGCACCCCCTGCTGGCCACACTAACACCTCTACCAGCAGCAACCTGGCTTTCTCAGAAGGTCTCCCATCCAGGTACTAACCAGGCTCAGCCCTGCTTAGCTTTAATGGGCAACCAGTCTTGGGCTACAGGGTGATATGGCTGCTGGCAAATTTATGTTCTTCTAAGTTATTGTAATTGTGTGCTTTAAAAATCTATCGTGTCCTTGGAAGAGTGTTATGCTGCTTTTTAGTTAAAATTTTGAACTGTTTTCTTCACAGAAAAAGAGTATTTTCCATAAATCTCAGGTCTGGGGATCCAGTTGATTAATTAAACTCTTTTAAATGATTGAATATTTTGTGCGGAGTATTTTTATTTTCTTCCTTTTCCCCCTTTTTGTTCTGTGGGTAATTTTGTGTTTTGATGAAATTTATTAAATAGGCTAGAAGAAACAATGTGGTGGAAGATACCTTTTGCTTGCGAGTTTATAGAGATCATATTTATGTTTTTCCCAATCTCAAATCGAGCCATTCGTCACATGGTCGGACGCCCCTCCCACAAATGTTGATTGACAGCAGTGATTCAACACAGACCGCACTGTGCAAGCTGTCGTCATGGTGACGGGGCAGAATGGCGTCTAAGCGATTGTGGTTTTCTGTTCTTGGATGTAATAACGACATAACCTGAGGTTGTATTTATTTTTCAACATGCGAGAATTTTGGACTTTTACCCGAGGATAATAAAGCAGTTCCATTTCTAAAGTAAAACAGCCTATCTGAGTGCATCGTGACTAGGGTTGGGAATCGAGAATCGAGTATCGATTGAAATCGAGACTAACTTTTCGTTTTTCCCGGAATCGTTCAAAAGTTAAAATTTCGATTCCTAGTTTCGATATTCACAGTCCGCCGAGCGGAAGAAGAAACCGCTGAACAACACCAACGAAGAAGCGTCTACCGGAAGTGTTGACATAACCACGCGAGTCGAACATGAGTACCTTACGTCGGCGATCCAAAGTGTGGCTTCACTTTTCTAAAAATAACGAAATCTCGGCAAAATGCAAAATTTGTGACAAAAGGAGTATTTTTACAGAAGGAGTATTTCCTTCAGAAAGGAGTATTTCCTTCAGAAAGGCCGTTGATTAGCAAGGTTAGCTAAACTTTTTTGACCCTGCCTCTTAGAAGAATCGGAATCGAGAATCGTTAGGAACCGGAATCGAAACAAGGAATCGGAATCAGAATCGTTCAAATTCAAACGATACCCAACCCTAATCGTGACTCATCAAACAGAAAACAGAAGAACAGTTTTAAAAAATGTAGCAAAAACAACGTCTTTATTTCACCAGACACCAGTCCAACTGCGTTGTACAGAATCTATTATAGTACAAATACAAATATATTTTCAATACCACATACGAATACCTTTGACTGTATATACTTCATACTTTGTGCAAGAGAATACATTTATCATTTACACAATTTGACATTTGTGCATATCATCGTCTGCATGAACATCACTATCATGATTATTACTGAACCACCATTTGATGAGAAATGATAAATTAAATATTACAGTAGACTGATAATAAACACCATGGTGGGGTTTGTTCGCAATCGCAAACCTGTGTCACCATTTATGTAAATCACAGAGCACCATTTAGCCAATCACAAGTGCTTATGACACATCAAATGTAAGACATCATGATGCAGTTCAGTGTCTATTTGGAAGGGAATACTAACACACTGCAAACTGTCAGTATACTGTATTCTGCCTTATTTATTACAAAATACAGCATCTCGAACTCTATGCATTCTGCTCACCAAACCTTCCTGTGGTTTCCGTTCCATAAATAAATAAGCTTATATGCAGTTTAATAGTTTGTATAAAATCAATTCACTTTTAGGAGCTTAATATTACCTAGTTCATAAAGTGCACAACTTTTCAGCGGCCTTGGTTCTGGAAGTATTTTTCCCATTCACAGGAGCACTGTGAATGACACAACTAAAAACGATATTGATTTAATTATGTCAATTATGTATATAGGAAAATGTTCATACACTCTAAACAATGCTGGGTTGTTTTAACCCAAAATTCGGTAAAATATGGACAAACTCAAATGTTGGGTTAAAAATGTAACTTCAACTGTACATTCTTTAATGATATTTTTAACCCAACATTTGGGTTTGTCCATATTTGGGTTAAAACAACCCAGCATTTGTTAGAGTGTATGTATACATAAATGTATATACAATATATTTTACGTTTATTGCAAAATATGCATATATTTAAGCAGTTTGAGAGTGCAGGGAGACTGACCCTATACCATTTGCAATGCAGCATGGGATTGTAGTTCTCTCCCTCATTAAAGCCATTATGTAGAGTCTTGTGTTTGATTCTACATCATTCACAGTACATCATAGGAGTAGGCAAGCGCTTGTGCGATGTACTTTGTCGTGATTCTGTTTGGTCAGCAGAATCCTGGGTAATGTAGTTGCTGATGGCAAAAGATGAACAACCTCGTACCTCTCAAAATAACTTTTTTTGAAGGTTTGGATATTCTTCGATGAAGAAAATGACTTCCGGAACCCGACTGTTGCACTCTTTTGCAGTTCAAGTTCAAGTTCAAGAGCATTGTTTTGTGGTATATGGTACCCTGCCTTATACTGTCAACATTATATATGCCAAATACTGCAGTAGGGTAGTATACTACACTGTAGGTTTAACTTAAAAAAGTAAGTAACCAGGTTGCCTTAAAACTTTAAGTTCATTGAACTGGAAAAAGTGAGTTAATACAATGAAGGAGAATGATTTAATCATCAGAAACTCAAAATTATATGTTATCTGAACTAAATAAATTATTTAAGTTGATTTGACAAAAGAAAAAATGTGATTACTACACTGTAAAAAAATTGTTGGTTTAACTTAAAGTAAGTAACCTGGGTTGCCTTAAAATTTTAAGTTGATTGAACTGGAAAAGGTGAGTTACTACAATGAAGGAGAATCATCAGAAACTCAATATAATAAGTTATCTCAACTAAATAAATTATTAGAAAGCTGATTTGACAAAAGAAAATATGTTGTGATAACAAATCTTGAAAATATTTTTTTAGTGTAGTATGCTATCCTCAAGACAACCTCTGTTTGTTTACGAAACCAGCAGCAACATTTCAAGTATGAGGTAATAACAGGTCTCTAAAATAATGAGCAATGTGCTATTGTCACAAGCACTTATGAATAAGCAAATGACTCTCATAGTCCCTGTAGGGATTTTTTTCCCCGTCCCTCCAAATAAGAGAGAGAGTCTTTGCTGCCGCAAAAAAAAGCTAAATGAGGCAGGTAAAACGAACCATTAACAGTCCGGCTGAAACCGGGGAAACTTTGCCGTAGAGGCCCGCTGATGAATCCAAGCCACGCACACCGAGAAAAAGCAAGAGAGTTTACGAGCTTCACTGCGGCAAACACGCGAACAGCTGTTGGGAAAAGCTGCCATTGAAGACTGTCGTTTCAAGACAGGAAACTGGCATTATGCATGATGAGATAACCAAGAATCCATTTGAACAAGGAACAGTTCCTCAGTCCAAAAGCATGTACAGAAGGATATCAGTTTTTGTTTCAATCAGGATGTACCATGGTTTGAGTGATGACTACACAAAGCAGCTGATGGGTGTGTTGTTGAAGTAAAGTACCGTATTGCACGCGCATCCGAGTTCTGTTTAATGAACTAATTTCCCTTTATCGTTGCTTGGTATTAAACGCACACGCTATGCATTTTTAATGTTATTTGCATTTCAAAGTAGCAGCATCCTGTGACGGCTCCAATATGGCAGGTGCCATTTAGAAGAAAACCGCGTTACAATGCTGGGAGATTCAATCTGCAGCTCTCAGCTACACGGGGGATCTAATAAAAACAAACCCCCCAAATCTGGGATGAAATTACGTCTCTTCTGTACAAAGCATTCAAACGCCTTCAACAGCTTGTGAGTTCTAATACATTATCCCAGCATGCTCTGGGAAAAGAAGCTGGCTATAAACAAACCAACATCATTTCATTAGCGATATCATTGAAACCTATTGTGAAGCTAGACTTTTTTTTTTAAATGAAGGAATTATGAGTGATTTTTGTTCATGGGCAGGAGCAGTTGCTTACAAAAAAGTCCCTCCTTCAAATGTACAGTCAATTTATAGGATTTTTACTCAACGTTTGCCTGGTGACAAACACCTCTCTTCAACATGCTACACGATTTGAGGCAACATTTCAAAAATTAGGCAGTGGGCTAATAAAACAGGAAGGAAGGAATTTGTTGACGTTGGTCACAAGAAATTTTGCAATACTGTCAGCTGCACGTCAGGGAAAGAATGTTTATGAGGTCATGGTGAAGTTTTCAGATGAGAAAGGGAGTTCAAGTATGGTGTCGGCAACACCAAAGTCAGGGGTTCGAGTCCCAGGGAAAACATACTGGTAAAATGTAGAGTAAAACGCACTGGATAAAAACGTTCGCTAAATGAATAAATGTACTTTATGTTACTGTGGGATATTACTAAGGCTAGGTATTGGCAGTACATGTCGCAATTAAATATATCACAATAGTCCATGATATCAAAATTGAATTGCACTAAATCGATCAGTCTCTCTAATGAGGTTTCAGAGACTTATTAATATGACCAACAGTATGAAATACAGTACGAATGCACAAACTAAATAAAAAGATTGATGCAAGATAAGAAAGTATAATGCGGTATTACGGTTTGTGATTGTTTTGTAGAGTGCTAAAACACATTCGATGAGTATAAGGATTTTCTGTTGGGATGTTTTTAGCATGTCATTCTTCGTACACAATTTTTCAAAGTTAAAATCAGCTGAGGGTTACTCATGTGAACTGTGTAATGGTTCACAGCATGTGTGGTTTTCAAATATGGTGACACATCAAAATGATGCAAAAGACTCACAAGCCTCCTGTGTATAACATCCTATGAATCACAGCCACTGTCGGAAACATACAAAGAAAAACAGGCCGCCTGCTGGGCGAGATGGAGAAAACTGTGGCCCGCGAATCAAGGTAGCTTATTTTTCTCCCTGCTTTCCACCTTACTGTGTCCCCGCTTGCATTTCGTACCAGTTTCTCCAGCGTAGTCCCGGGACTCACTTGTAGAGGAGCTGCAGGCGTCCAGGGTGACAGTTGTTGCGGTTGATCTTGCCGTCGGGCTGGTACAGGGTGGAGGAGTTGGAAAAGGTGGGAGGGAGGGAGTGGTTGTCAGAAGCAGGGAGGGGGTATCCTGGTGGCGGGAGGAGAGATTTGGGATCGTTCAGAGGAGTGGGAATGGAAGGTGAGCTGTGGTTCTGATTGGAGGAGGTGGGGCGTTTTCTGGAGCGCAGGGCCTGTCGCTCTGACAGCTGATTTCTCAACTCTGATACACGTTCCTCTTTCTGTTGGAAGGAAAACACGAAACTAAATTAGAAACTAGGCCGAAAAATGTTTTGAAAACTACTGAGAAAAGGAAGTTGAAAGTAAACTTGACAATCTGCCAGAGCTCTCATGACATCTATTGTATCAGACATGATAGGAATTTAAGAACGAGTGTCTCTTTGAAGTCGGAATTTGAATTGGCGTTTTGACACGGCATGACAAGACTAGGATTTAAAAAAAAAATTGTTGTTATTTTTAACTAAAACTGAAACAAAACAATTGAAATAAAGCTTAATTAGAATTAAATATGAATATAACATGAAAACTGAAAACATCAGATGGCAACTAAGGTTATTAATTACACTATGTTAATTGCAAAAACAATAGCATCGACGCAGATAGTTAGCACAAAACATCCTCCGCATTGTTTTAATTGTCTCCAGACTTCTGGTCAAATTTAGTATCTATTTATATATCACTAATTGAGCTTTTACTGCTCAAAGCCGTGTACTTATATGTTGACATTTTGATGATCTAATATAGCCCAACCGATAAAGGATTTTGAAGGCCGATACCGGTTTTAAAATCCGATATATATGCCGATATTTTATTTTATTTTTTTTAATTTCAGAAACGCGCAAGAAAACATTAACAGATTTCCCTAACATGAGTTATTTGTAGTTATTTATGAGTTTGAACTAAAATAATATGATAATGCATTTTAAAAAGTAACTTGTTTCTTTTATTTGTCACAACAGAACAATTCTGATGATTAGCTAGCTTTGTGGTTAGCTAGTCTATGATGAGCCATAATTTAGCAATGGATTACGTCATACTGCAAATTGTAAAACATACATTTTCAAAATAACAGGCCAAGGAGAGATGATGCGTGACCAACTCTCCATGAACACACTTGACTTCACTGATGATCTCACTCGCGGATAACTGGTTCTTTCTGCCCGACTCTGGCTGGATCAGTTTGCAGGATGTGTGGCGCGTTATACACAAGTGTTGCCAATAGAGACAGTGTAGAGTGCCCTCTGGTGGACAAACTATACAACTCCAACACTCATGACATGGTTCAAGCGTGTCTCGTCCGTTTTTATTTAATCTTTGAAATATTCATTTTTCGGCCATTATAACTGCCGATACTAATAGTTTGGAAAATGCCTAATATCGGCCGATAATATCGGTCTGGCTCTATGATTGACATTTTTACTTTTTTAGATTTAGGCAGCCGGGAATCATATTTCCTGGTTCTTAGTGGAACACATTATATTGAATTCTAAATTCTAAACAAATAGAAAAAAGGCATTCTCAATTCAGTTTTGAAATATGTTCAATCCTGGTATCAGACATTCCGAACAGTCTGCTGGAAAAATTGAATGTGACACAGAACCTCCTGGATGATCTTCTGCAGCTCTTTGTTCTCTCTCTCCAGCTGGCGGGATTTCTCCTCATCATTGTTGTTTGTGGATGAGCCGGTCTTCATGGTCTCCTGCTGGTCCGACTGCCACTCACCACGAGTGATGAGCCTCCGCATCTACACCCACAAACACACACCACACTAGGTATAACAACAGACCAGATTCATGTCGACAGAATATTAATGTACTGCAAGCTAGACAGCAAATACGCTCTACTACTACCAACTATTTATTAAAAATAGAGTGCAAACCGATGAGCAGCAGGCAGGCAACAATAGAAATAATACTAGTAAAAAAGGACAAATTGTGAACAAATATGAGTTTGATTAAAATGTAACTACTCGTCGAGTCATAGAGCGTTGATTATGTGTAGATCATTAGACAAAAATGAAGAAAATATAAAAAATAACTGGTCTCGAGGTTTGTAATTCTTTAAATACTTAGAAACTTTTCTTATTTAGACCTTATAGAGCACTTTCAGCACTCGTTGTGTTCTTTCTTCCAGGATTGTATTTCCACAGCATGAGGGTAAGATCTTACGGATTCATGAATGAACCGAAATTACTCATTGAAATATACAGAGCTACCGAAAAATTCACAAAATTCTAAAGATGGCTGCACACTTGTTTCTCTGGTGCATAAGGTCTATATAACATGAATAAAGGCTTCCTTTTATTGGCTGTTGTATAATAGCAGTGTCTTCACTTCTAAAAACACCTGTCCTCCGATGACACTGATTACACCACATCTCCATAGTATCATCATTCAGAGCGCTTTAAGATTTCATGTGAAGACCGCTCACATGTCACACAGTAACCACTCTTTGATCACTCCTTCCTTTGCTCTAGTTATCCAGCATTAATATTCATCACTGTAATGCAATATTTACATTAGCTCTCCTTCTTGTTTTGAGAAAATGATCTGCTGTTGTACCTTGGGGACGAAGAGGACAACTAGAGTGATGTAGACGGAGAAGATGATGGCCAGCGAAGCGAAGGCGAATGAGGCGTCCTGCTTAGACGATAGAATCATGGTGACAGGAGCGGTAATCATACACAACACCTGAAAGAGAGAGAAACAGTTACATATATAGGCGTTTATTTAAATGGGTGCTTACAAAACACATTTTTTGCCCAATTGGTCTACTCTGGAAGCTTGTTTCCACCACAGAATAAAACATTTCAAAAGATATTTGCGACTTTATATCACACAATTCTGACTTTTTAGATATAACTCGCAATTGTGAGAAAAAAGTCAGAATTTTGAGATAAAAAGTCGAATTTACCTTTTTATCTTTTATTCTGTGGCAGGGAAACAAGCTTCCATAGTCTTCTGTCAAAGTCCAAGACAATGTTATTATCGTTAACTAAAACTACAATTTTCAAAAATAGTTTTTGTTAATGACAACAAAGCTGAAATCAAATAAAAACATTACATGTTAAATATAAAAACTACAAGTGGTGTTTTGACAACTAACTTGAAGATAATAAAATAAGTTTAAATTGAATCACTACAAAACTAGAAATATTAAAAAAGCTAATAACAATGATAACAAAGCACATAACAAACTGACAAAAATGTATACTAAAATTAAAGTGAAAATATAAAAAAGCTCATTTAAAATATGAATAAACACTGTATTATAGTAATAATAACACTGGTCTAACAGTGGATATACATGCATCAAGAGGGTTCTATAATTTTTTGTGAATTATGATTCAACAAATGTCCCAAATTCTTAAATAATGAAAGTATGAAAGGTATAAATATGTTTATAATAAAATGGCACAGTCCTTTGTCTTGTTAAGGCTAATTTCATACAGTAGCTGGCATTCGATATATTCTAAATATACACAAGTAATATTTGTACACTTTTTGCATAATTTGACAAAATGTAATGATTGGAAATGTATAATTTTTACACAATAAATATTGAAATGGGGTATGACTCTTTGTTTCTGATGGAAAGTGTGGGCCAACATTTAGCAATATTTTCATAAAATACTAGCAACAATAAATGAAGGAATTATAATATGTTTACAAGAACGTTTTTAATGTCACGTTCATATAACAAAATGAAAAAAAAAACTATTTCTTTTGAAGGCATAGGAGCGGAGAACAGAAACCAAGAGAAAGAGAAGTGAATCAATAAATATTGATAATCAGTCAGTCGTTTCTCACACAACAAGTAAAAATCTCATCCAGGCTAGCAAAAAGAAAATGTTGCCTGGCATCAACAGAGGTGATCTTTTTTTGCAGGGCCATTAGTTATTTGGACAGGGCAAAAAGTGCAAAGCAGTCTCTATAAATCGAAGCAGTTTATAGCTGAAGTAACAGCAGTAGCCAGCAGCTTTCACACTTGAATCGCACCATGGCAGAGCATTAATGATGCAACAAAATCAGTATGGTTTTAGTCTAAAATGCACAGCCATGCTAAATAATGCAGTGAGTCCCCATTCACTGTCATTAAATGGAAAAGAGCAACCAGGGCATTCTTCAAAATATCTAGTTTCATATTCAACAAAAGGATAGAAGCAATGCACCATGACCTAATAAGACATGACACACAACACATCGACACGTGATAAAAGGTATCTTCTCCATGTTCAGAGTTTTTGTCCATACCAGCCAATTTTAGAAACGGTATCCATTTCTACAACATTGCGGCTGGAACAACAACAATGAGATCTTAGGTATTGATTATGTGCTTTATTTAATGTTAAAAGCATCTAATTTGAGTTTGAAAATCCTTTTGCGTGATATTTATACCCAAACTGAAAGTGACAATGGATAAATAACCTCAGATATTAAAAATAAATTAAGTCAGTCATTGAGTATGTATTTAAAGGGATAGTTCACTTTGAAATTAATTTTTGATATGTTTTAGCTTATCTCAAGGGCATCCAATATGTAGTCTTTGTTTCCACAGTATTTTCAATTTTGACATTTTTCGGTCAAACCGTTGTTGTCTATCAGTCATATAATGGAGGTATAGGGGGTTTTACCTTTCACTAAGCATATTTAGATATATCGAAATCGCCTTTCATTGCGATTTCCTGTATATCTACATATGTTTAGATCTTCACAGTGAAAGGTAAAACTTCCGAAATGTCTGTGTAAACATTAAAAAACCTGTGTAAACAACCGTTAGACACGGTTCAGTTGGACATTGGATAACTGATTCAGAACAGTTGGACATGGCTGTGGTTAGATGAGGTAAAAACGATATAAATACTGTTTGTTTTCTCACACACACTGTTCGTTTCGTGTCTTAGGCCATCAATTACGAGTCATTAAATCACGTTTGATTTGGACTTCTCTGTGCATGCTCTTTGAGGTGGACCCCCTAAACCTCCATTATATGACTGATAGACAACAACTGTTTGACCGAAAAATATCAAAATTGAAAATACTGTGGAAACAAAGACAACTACATCTTGGATGCTCTTGAGGTAAGCTAAAACATATCAAAAAATAATTTCAAAGTGAACTATCCCTTTAATGATATTAAAATAGTGAAATATTTATGAATTTGATTATTTATTTATTCATTTCATTGCGAGTGCAGTGTGCTTGCAGAGAGACTCCGTCCACACACTATTCCAATAGGCTGTGATTTTTGATTGATTTGTTGTGTCTTGTAGTTTTGACGCATCTGGTGTGGACAGACAAATTGCTTGTCGCTGGAATCTCATTGCATCGCGTATGGATAGGACACGGTGATATGGCTTTGGAACAACATAAGGGTGAGTAAATGATGACACAATTTACAGTATGTCAGTATTTATTCGTCCTCATGTCGTTTCAAACCCATTTGACTATAATTTATTTTGTGGAAAATAATCTCTGCAGATCTTTTCCATATAATGACAGTTAATAGTGATCACAACTGTCAAAATCCAAAAAGAAGGAAAATAAATACCATAAAAGCACCATAACAGCTATCCAGTAAATATATACATAATTCGATTTCTTGATTTGGGCGTCAAACAAGTCAAAATGTGAGTTTAATAAATATGATCAGTTTCCTGTGAAAGAGGTGAGCTCTTATTGTCTTTATTGTTGTCCTCCAAGCAGCTGCAATTCTAAAAAGTGATGGAGTTTGTAATGACATGACAGATGGCATCTGAAATCATTTCTTTAGCAGAATGGGCATTCGCTAAGGGCCAGGAGTCAGCCTGCGACTTGGAAGAAAAAAAAAAAGAGCGAGAAAAGATTAAAATGCAAAATTTGGCCCCTTGCTGATCTACAGTCTCTCCCTCAATTTGAGCTTAAATTGGGTTCAGTGCATAATGGGTAATCCTTGGAGGCCGAGACGGAGAGAAACACGCTGCTTCAAATTAAAAGCCTACAATGAAATAGCCTATTGACAAAAGCTTTGTGCTTCATTTCCAATCAGCCTTCGCCATAGAAAACAGACCAGAAGCCTTTATGGTAAATGAAAAGAGATTCCCATGTATTTACCCTCAATATTGAGGGTGTTATCAGCATGGTACGTGCTTCTTTCGTGACTCATGAGCCTCGGGGCCGCGCTGAAATGCTAAAGTGGAACAGATGAGATGGGCAAAAACAACTTTCAACATTACTGTGGGACCACTTTACTTGAGTTTTCTAACTACTTTAGAGCTCCAGTCCCGTCAAACTGACATGCAAGCTTATTCCTGATGATGAGGGGAAGCTCTTTTCCCTCCCTTTCTCGGTCCTCTGGAAAGCTCTGCGTCCCTGGACAGCATTCGAGATGGCAGGCTCAGACACTTCACTTCCATCAAATCTAGCAGAGACACATTGAAATGCTCCAGGCATGTTCTTCCTGCTTATGATTGTGTTGTGACACCCAGCAGCTCCAGAAGGATGCTACGTCCAATTCACACGCCAACTCCCAACTAAACTTGAGCATTGAAAGAAAAAAAACCCTCTGTGGTGCTATTTTAGTCACGTCAGCCGAACAGTTCTACCTTTTAATTGGACAATATTTGGGTGACAACTGACATTTCAAATGTCACACAAGGCGATCCTTAAAATGTCTACAGGGATAAGTTTGAAAAGATGAACAGACTCACCGAGACATTGTAGATGGCCATCCCAACAGCTCGATGATCGTTTATTTTTTCAGTGGACACAGATTTGGTTTCATAAGCCAGAAAAATGCCCAGAAGCAGCAGCAAACCCTTATAGCCATACACGACACCTAAAAGTCAAAACAGAGACAAATATGACCAACAGGTTTCCCAAACATCCATATTGTTTAGTCCCAAATCCAAAAGCCCAAGCACATGCGATAAAGGGTTGAAACGCGTTTTGTCGCTCACTGCCGTTTAAGTGTGTTGAATCAACATGGCTAACATTTCTAAATTTTCATTTAATGTAAGTGAGTTATGCTTCTGATTGTAATTTTGGCCACCCATACCATTGACAATACCTGCATAAATGTAAATGTATAAATGTAATACGTACATTTATTGCATAGACAGACGGAGCAACAGTTCAGATGTTTAATAGATTTTGCCCTTTTTGTATAAATGCTGTGAAACTGAATGTACAAAGCAAACTGTTAGCTGACATAACAACAGCACAGTACACATAATAAGAGAATCCAGTTTATGTCAATCAGATGTGCCTGACAGTTGCGTTTGTTTTGTTAGTATAACAGTAGCACTTTAAGAACTCACTAGCATGTCAGCTTAGCGTAGTGTAAAAACGTTAATTTATGAGATCAATACCTTGTTTTTGATTTGTCGAGTGTTTGAAACAACTACTTTCTGTGACCTGATGTGACTTCTTTTCATAGAATGAGAGAAAATATTATTTTATAGTATTCTGAGGTATAGGCTATGTCGATGAGCATTGCGTTATAAATAAACTGAGTTCAAAATGGACATTTCTAATGATTTATTGCATGTCAAGATTAAAAAAAAATGACTACATATGCAATAAAAAAATGAGTCAGTAAGATAAAAAAGCAAAAAGAAATTAACACTTTTATTCAGCAAGGACACATCACTGGTCAAAAGTGACAGTCACATTGATAATAAATGGTTCTTGAGCAAAAAAATCATCATAATGTGACACTGAAGACTGAAAATTCAGCTTTGCTATCACAGGAATAAATTACATTTTAGAAAAAATAGAAAAAAGTTATTTAAAAAACATTTTTTTAATGTATTTTTTTTATTTTATCAAAATGCAGGTTTAGTGAACATCTTAGTCTTACTATTTATTAAATCAAGCCAAAAGCTCTCATCAAATTGAAGGATTTTTAAACATTTATAAAGTGCTTTAAAAACATTATCTACAACAATGCCAATATATAATATTTATATTTTACAAAGAAACAGGGACGGCGTACAGTAAACATTAACCACAAGGGGTGATATGCATAGTACCAGAGCTAATTTTCACCCATAGTCCCTGGGATTAAGCAAATATCCGGGTTTTTTTTTATTTGTTACTACTGGCTGGCAGTTGCTTGTGTATTATTTATAGTCACCTTCTTCTCTGACCATTAAATCCTCAGTAAACACTGGCGATGTAATGAAGGCCGCAGACTGGGGTGTGCGGATTCAATTTAACTGAGTGCTTGTTAATAAACCGGCTCACTCTCAGATTATCATTTCAAATCCATTTGGATTTGTTTGTGAGCAAAATGGTGCTATCTAGAGTGCGTGAGAGCGGTTTACTAAGTAATTAGTCCATCCTTTTCCACCAGTTTGATGAATTCAGGCCGATGCAAACATGATAGGTGAACATTATCACATCACTGACAGGGTAATCAGTCAGTCACAGGTGCTGCCTGCTCTCATGACTTTTGCCTGAATCTAGCCATTCATTCCCAACACACTATGAAAAAAAAAAATTGGTGTAGGATTTACTTTTAAGCAAATTTTTAAATCCCCAAATTGCTAGTATATTTCACAAATTATTACAAAGAAACGGCAAGTAACATATTGAATTAAAATTAAAATTTAAAGAAGAAAACTTTCAATTTACAACTTTGATCTCAATGAGTTTGATTTCTCATCTAGATGTGAAAGGAAGCTGCCTTCCATGCATCTTTGAACCAAATGCCCCATGAAATCAACCTACTAATGGTTTACTTGGAGAGATTGTAATGGCAGATATGTATCATACAAGTATTTGTAAGACAGGCCTGTTTACAGGCAGCTGTGCTCATTTCTCAAGGACTCTGTCTGTAGAACACACTGAAGGCTCATTTTAATGACCATAACTAAAAGAGCAAGGCCGCTCCAATTTGTCTCATAAAGGTAGCAATTAATTTGTTTAATTACTTAAACACTTACAAGAAGGAAACACCTGAGGAGATAGTCTGAAGGTCAAAACCATCGGGGTTCCTTCATTAAATCACTTTCACACAGACACAGGCTCATGGGCTTTATTTCAGACAGCAAATTTTTTTGGAGCCTGACGCCATGATGAGATGTTACGATGAACAAGAGAACAAACATTGTGGCCACTGTTAACGTCCTTTATTTGCATGCACTGTCTGCATTTTAATATCCGATTCATTATAGGAATTATGCAAATCAGGAAATGACGCAAACATGGTCTAAAAATAACGCTAACCACAATTTGCACGCTGTAATTCCCCATCTTATGGGTCGGTTCTGAGCAGAGAAACAGTGTCAAAAAAAGTACACTTTAGCATAATTAAAAAAAAAAATTCTTATTATGGAAATCTAAAATATACTTTGTCATTTCTATTAAAACTAACATTTTTAAAGAGTAACTAAACCTTAAACCAACTTTTTTTAGTTAATGATCTGTTAGAATGGATCTTTTTTAATACCAGTCATTGATTCGAGTACCTTTTTTGACATTTGTGAGTGTTTCAAAAAGTGTTTTATTTCTACAATATATGGTGTAAAAACGTCGTAGTGCTGCCCTCTTCAGGTTGAACGGTGGCTACTGCAGTTGAATTTTCCTATTGGATGTTCCGCACTTCGTTTCAGCTCACCACGCTCTTGGTATGACTGGCAGTATAAAAACCAGCTTGTTTCGTCAAAACCACTATAGCGAGCCAGGAGTTGGAATTTCGAGCATTGAAAACGATCAGGATAACGTTAGAGTGTTTTATCATCTATTTCGTCCCCTCGAGGGGTTTCCGAGCTCGATAGTAAACCTGAGGCTCCTATCGGGTGGGATCTCCGCCTCATCACCACCGTCCACGCTCCTCCGGTAAGACTGAGATGGACAACCCGCATTCATGACTGTCAAGCCTTACTGGACTCAGAAGTGGAAGGGAACTTTATGGACCGTAAGCTTGCTCAGAAGCTTACTCATTCCTGTCACCTCACTCACAATATCAGTCAATGCTCTTAATGGGCAAAGACTTTCTAACATTGCTCTCGCCACCAGACTCATGACACTCACCACATCAGGCAATCATTCTGAAACTTTGTCATTTGAGCTAATTTTAACCTGCAATTAATTATAATCTTTTGTGGTTAATTGTCTAGGTACATGCTGTATATGAATGCAGATGCAGGGAACATATCATCCCTTTTCAGGAGATTTAATAAATGTTAAGTTTTTCTGGTTCAAACCTGTATGGATAATTATTAATTATCAATTATTAATTATTGTATACAAATTCCCCAAATCGACCAGAGATGCTCTACTCTGTGTGACACTTGTATATAATACTGAATAACACACAACAGTAAAATCAAGTACAAAACATTGACATGCTTTAGTACACAATAAGTGTACTTTAAAGCATAACAATGGATTTTTAAATGATTTTATAAGTATATTATTATTTTATATGTAGTTTAAAATAAAACTGGCATTATTACAAAGTATCCTTAAATGTTAAGAACAGCCATGCTTTCATATTTTACTATCTAAAAGTAAAGTTTTTGTTTTTAAAATATACTTATTTACTTGAAAACATACCTTGAAATCTTTAAAGTACACTACAAGTGCAAATACAATGCATCAGTCATCCGATGTGATCAAGACAATTCAGTTGGCACACTGCACATCTGGAGATACTGTGTGCAACATCATTTAATCATCATTTGATGAATATCTGCCAGTATTATCACTAGAAAATGTACACAAAAAACTCTTTTGAGGAAAACTGTTAGCCACCTTCTTTCCACAACAATGACTTCATTTAAATATGCCCGCTGCAGCCCTAAGTCAGCACAGAGAGTGCTGGTTTAAACCGGATTACGGGTGGACTGTGAATACATTTTTGCATTTAAATACAGCACTGTAAAGTCAGTGAATATAACTGATAAATTGTAACGTTTGCATTTTACAAAAAGAAAATCTAATCAGATTTTTTGGGTGCAGTGTGAAAAGATTCAGAGTCATACCCAGAACGATTCTTACCAAGCCATGTGTTCATCTTCTCTGAACTGCAGTGCTGCAGAAGAGGCTCAATCAACTGATCCACGTCCCCTTTAGGCGCTTCTTTAGTGAACTTCTGCTCAGAGAGAAAGAGAAACGGTTCATTCGAGATTTTGTTCATATGCACCTTGTGGCAAAACACAATAAATCCAACTGTGCCATGTTCTTATAAACACAGTCCCTGATAGGACGGAGGGATGCCTTACCTCCACCGTGATGTGCAAGGGGTCCACAATCTGCCAAATCATAAGGGACAGGACGTCGATAACCAGCAGGACCCCCACGGTGGCATAGAGCTTCCAGGGCTCCAGGTGCTGCTGGGATATAAAAACACCACCAATCAACTTTCCATCCAGGCCAGTGAAAGAAACAACTTCTGTGGTGATTCATGGCATCATGAGGAGCGCAAGTGCAGAGAGCTTGAAGGGAAAACAATGGCCCATTACCAGGACGTCAATTCAATCCACCACACGGTGGCTGCTCTTTATGGTTTAAGTAAGGAAAGTGTCTTTAATGGATTTCAAGAAAATCAATACTCTTTCTTTTTTGTAGCGAGGATGTTTGTGAGCAATTAAACATAAAAATCATTTATTTAAAGAGCAACACAAAAAGCATAGTATGTTCTCTGTGACTCGTATTGTTTATACAGCTCATAAATCTCAAACACACCTTCACAACGGCGAGGATGAAAGAACTCACACATAGCCAGACAATTGATTCAAGGTATTTTCTGGGTTCAAAACAAGTTAAGCTGTATATGTGGCCTGCTACTGATTGCAAGAGATGTCTGTTTGTAAAAATGAACAGGAATGTAGTACAAATTTTTATGGGATATTCCAGGGCTTACATTAAAATCTAAAGATGCCTTGATAATTACGTGGATGAACTTCTGGTTTTGCACTGATGTAATTTGTGGGTGTGAGTTTTTATACTTGCATATATCAAATGAAAGTTACAGGGTTTACCGCTTGGACATTTTTTATTATAAGCAACATGGTCATTACAGAAATTGAAATACTGAATATAATTTTGCACAGACAAGATAGTCAGTTTCTTTGGGGTCGTTGGTGTAATTTATATTACTGTATTGATATTACTGGGCTACTCCAGTCTTCAGTGTCATTCTAATACGCTGATTTGCTGCTCAAGAAACATTTTTTGATTAATATCAGCATTGAAAACAGTTGTGGTGCTTAATTTTTTTGTGGAAATGGTGTTTTTTTAACCATTATTAACCATTTTTTTCAGGATTCTTTGATGAATAGAAAGTTATTACAGCATTTATTTGAAATATAAATGTTTTGTAACATTATAAATACATTTACTCTCACTTTTGAACAATTTAACGTGTCCTTGATGAATAATATTAATTTATTTAAAATAAAATAAAAACTTTTGAATGGTACAGACTAGAGTACAATTAGTCTCGTGGTTATACGCATACAAAGGCACTCAATTGTAAGTACATTTTACAAACTGAGGGACAAGTCTAAATTATTTTCTGTTTTGTTTTTGTCTCCATAACATGTTGAATCCATAACATTTATTTTCATTTCTTTTCACAATTCATACAATAAAACATATCATCATACAAGTTAACGAGTTTCTCTTTTCTAAAAATAGAATCTTTGTCCCAAATCTTTCTTTCCATGTTATGGTTTTTAATAAATCCTGAAACTATTCTTTATTCCAACATTTCCCTTTTGTATCTGACAATGACTGTGAAGAATACACTTCAAACAAACGCACTGGTGCTCGTTTTGTGTTTGTTTTTAAATTAAAAGTGTAAAAAAATCTTAATAGAGATGCACCAGTCAAAGAAGCACATTTGAAAATGACAAAGCCGTCAATTCAATGCCCCACTACACATCATAGATTGTTTCTCAATTTTTGAATCCTTTCGAGAGAGAGAGAGAGAGAGAGAAAGAGAGAGCGAGAAAGAGAGAGTGAGAAAGAGAGAGCGAGAGCTCTCCACGGGGAACATGACAAGCTTCTCTCTACCTACAACTAGATGAATGCTCATGAATACTCAATAATAGGCATTATGTACTTATTGCTGGAAACTGAACTGAGAACAGTGCAAGACTAACTTAAAGTCCAACTGAAGCAAAACACAAACACAGATCAGACGTGATAGATGCACTAGCATTTAAAGTTTTTGGGTTGGTAAGATTTTTAATATTTTTGAAAGTCTCTCCCCAAGGCTACATTTATAGTATACGAAACACCAGGACTCTGGTGGCTAGTTCCTAGAACTAAGTTCCCGGTGCGAAAGCCCCTTATTTGATAAAAAATACAGTAAAAACGTTACTATTGTGAAATACTATTGATGTCACACAATAAACAATTGTATATGCATTAACTAATATGAATAAATGCAGCAAAAATATAATGCTTATTGTTAGTTCATGTTAGATAATATAGTAACTAACAAATTAGACCTTATTGTGTTACCAAAAAAATCCAACATACTGATTGATAGTGATCTTGCGCAGCGTGAGAGAATCTGTGGTGATGGAGTGACTGTAAGGAGAGCTCATTGAGATGGGTTCTATGATAAATGTGCAGTTTAAGGATGCTCAAGGACAACAGGGGACCCATCTCTATGAGATCAGACACAGTGAAAAAGTGGCCAAGCCAGAGAGGCAGTGGAAGCGAGATGGAGATCCAAAGATGATAAAAGAAAAAGGAACAAGATATATTATTTATAAAAGATAATAATTCCACTATGACATATTGATCATTCCAGCAGTGTACTGGAAGACCTTGACACGACAAGAGACTTTAGAGACTTTAAAAGACTAAGTCAATGAGACCAGAAACGGTCTGGTTACTGATATTCTTCTAAATATCAGAAAATCGGCTGAATTGATTCGAAAACGGTAAAACTCAACTGTTTAACTCTGAGGGAGTTATAAAATGAGCCTATTTCCAAAAAAAAGTGGAGTATCCCTTTAAAAAAAAAAAATTATTGGCGCTGTAAGTCTTGGCTACAAGTGCAACCCTAGAACTTACAGGCCTTGGATGGGAGATGCGACACTGGAGCAAGATGCTGTTCAGGATACTAACAGTTATTATAGTTATTAAATAGTGTCTTTAAACTGCACAAAGACTGTTTAACTATTAAATGCGTGTCTGTGTGTGAATGAATGAATGATGTAGTAAATGGAAAAAGGCCAAGCACTACATGCATTCGGTTTCTTTCTACCATTTATTAGTAGTGATTTACACAAATATATACCTGAGCATTCAGTATTGTGCAATATAGCATACAGAACGTGATGGACATTTTGGGGGGAAATAAGTGCTACATTTTATCATTTAAACATGTGACTTTTCAGGAAAATTCTATAATCATGATTGCCGCCACCATGTGACGTTATAATACGCAAATTAGATGGGAAAATGTAATCCCTACATAAACTTTGGGTCATCCTTAATATTTCTCTAATTTACAGAAAGTCTCTATCTTTTATCACTTTTAAGATATAGCCTTTTGAAATTAAGATGTAAAAATCGTTTTAGGAAAAAACCTCTGGCGGCTAAAGGTTTAACATCGTAATCTTTCCACAGCGTGCTTATAGCCCAGACACGTGAGGCAGAGATCGTGGCTGACACGCAGGCGAGATGATTTTAAAAAGACATTACATCACACCTGTGTTGACTTTTTTAGGGAAACTGCTCTTTAAATGTTGAAACACTTAGGGGAACAGCCGCTGCACCAGACTGTGCAATCTCAGCAACCGCAACCTTCGCTGGAATGCTCCGTCACACAAACACCGAAACAGGAACAGACTCTTGTTCTGATGCTCTCTTGAGCAATGATTAAAGAACAGAGTGAAAACCAGGTCCACTCAGCTCCTTAGCCAAAAAATGTAATGTGAGTATTCACACACAAGGGAGTGGCTTATGATGCAAATCACACTCGCCAATGTGCATTGGCTTGTTCTGTTACCACTCAAAGGTTATTCGGTTATTATAATTCATCAGTGACTGACCTTAATGTCGAACGTGACTGACTGATGGGGAACCTTGGTTCTGTACTCACCTTTCTTTTGTCTTTCTTCTCATCCTTCTTTGTGAACACAGTGTGGACCCACCAGATCTTCGTGAACATACTTCCATAGGCCAAACTGAAGCCAAGTCCAAGCAGCCACAAACGGAACTAGAAAAACAACAATAATAATAATTTTAAAAAAGCAACTTAGCCAATATTTCAGTGTATATTATGGATATAAGGATGCAGCAATATTACAATTCTGACCAGTATCGATAAGCTTATCATTATTCTGATGTTATGGCAAATAAATAATCAATACTAAAATGATATACTATTTCATCAAAATAAATTAAAGGAAAAGCAATTAATGAATTTAAGCATCACAACATAATGTACAACATGAACAATTCATTTTGAGGTTTGCTAAATATTATATTTAACAATGTTATTAAAATAGTAATGTTTCTAATGATTAACTTTGAATGAGTGTTATATGATGGCAAATGTAAATTAAATGTAAAAATAGCAGAAATGAGCAAGCACAATACATATTCAGTAAAAACAACTAATATCTAATATAGCTAATAACCGTTTTTGTTCTGATATATAATGTGTATCCCTAAATGTGAACACACTGCAACTTTTTAGATCTCAAACTTCATCGCCTGTCCAAAAAATGCATTTATTAAAATTAAGCTGCAAAAACAAATCGTTCAGACCTTAGGCTTTGCTAAGTTACTGAAGGAAGGGGTAGTGCAAACTAAATTGGACCTGACGGCAAGCATGGGACCTATAAGTAAATGTAAGCGAAGAGGGCATATATATAGATGTCTGAAAGCAAGGAGGCAAAACAAGTGCTTTTAATACTTAAGGGTCTGAGAGTGGGTGAAAAAGGGTTGTGAAAAAAACTAAATAATTCATATTTTTTGATACAAGGAACCCTGACTAACGTTATCAGTAGGCCTAAGGGGAAAAAAAATCTAGAAAAAAAATTGATACGCCTCCGACTCCGTATTAGTCCTTCTGAAGAAAAGTGTCTGAGGAGGTTTTAAAAACTCAATTACTACTGCTACAAATAACATCAATGACAGCATTACCCAGATTGCCTGAGCGCTTACCTGACAGACCACAGGAAACTGGGAGTTCCGTACATGCAGTCCATCAATTCCCAGAGGAAAAACAGCAGCCAGAGCCATCATACAGCCGACTGCCGTCATGTTATTCAGGTAAGGCTGAGAGTTTTGAATGTACCTTCAACATATGGACATACATATTGCTGAATTTTGAAGTTTGCAAATATATGTACAGGTGTGTTCAATCAATAGGTTCATACATGGAACAGATATTTCCAAAGACACGTAGTGCGGTAGTGACATCACTCTAAGAACAAAAGTTTCAATGGGGTTCTATATAGAACCCTAGGATTCTTGACTCAATTTGAAAGAACTCTTGATGCCAAAAAGGTTCTATAATAAGGAGAAATGTCTTAAATGATTGCATTAAGCTTTCATGTTTAACAGGTGATTAATTATTAAGTATGTTTACAAGCTGTTTAATTCATAAAATACATTCACCAAATAATGAATTAAAACACAATTACCGGTTATTCATCCATAAAATTATCTCATGATGGGATTCCCTAAAAGGTTCTATTTAGAACCTTTTGTTCTATGTGTGGTACGGATACCGATATATATAGATATATAGAAGATAGATACTGATATATATATAGTCTAAAATTAATATTTATTTTATTTAATATTAATATTCTACATCAATATTTTACATAATATGGTGTTCCATGATCCTTAAAATAATATCATGGTACTTTTGGGTAATTTTTGCTAGTGTAGTGAACTCACATTCAGCTAATTTAGTAAGTCTCTCACAGTGGAACAGGACTTAAACTCCTGTGTCTTATCATCACACAAAGAAACAAGATTCATAGACACACTCACACATTTACCCACATGAATGACAAGATTCGTAAGTGTTCAGGGTCTTAGCTTAAGCTGTCTGCTGAGATAATCTAGTAGAAATTTTTAATGTCAATAAGATAAAAAGACTGAAACACACATACACACATTAGTCCAAATATATCGGTGCGATGCTATTGCTATTCGTAATGCATCAGAATGTTTGAACCCGACGTGTCTCTACACACACAGAATGTGTGAATGTGACCCATGATACTGGTATGCATGTAGCATGCTGTCCTCTGCACTGAACTCAAATGTGGTTATGCAATATAAATGCACACACACACCTGCAAGCAGGAGTATACAGCTAAACATACCTGACATTGCTGTTGTAAATGTTAAAGGTGAGACAAACGATCCCCATTAAAATGCCCAAGCCAGCGAAAACAGAAACTGAGACGAAGAGTTTTTGTGACAAATATCTGAACTTCTGAATCACCACAGTCTGATCAGCAGGAGGGCCAGAACCTGGAGAGAAAAATTTGGCATTTTAGTAGACTATTATTTTATATTACACTAAAATAACTTTCATGAATAAAATTTAAAACAAATAAGAGGTAGTTGCTATTTAGTCTTTCTAAATACATTTTTCCCCCCTTTAAAACAGATCCAATAGAGAAAGAACAAGAAGTTACCAAGGAGCACGATACAGGTCAGACTCCAACATGAGCACAATGACCTGCATGTAAAAAGTGTGTCTGTGTGTGTGTGTATAAATACATGTGTCTGTGCATATAAATATACACATACCAAGTATAATACCACATATAAGTATACTGTACACACACACACACACACTAAAAAAATATATATTAAAAACTAAAAAAAAAAACCTAAAAAAAAATATTGATCGAGTTGTAAATAAAACAAAGATTACTGGAGTAGATTTTAATAGGAAATTTAAGTCTTTCAACTAAAGTTTTTCTAAATTTACTTGGAATTTCTAAATGAAAATAGTTTGAAAGTAAAAAAAAAATAATTATGTGAATGAAAGTATAATTAAAATAGTAATGTAATAATCATGTGTATTTAATAATGAAACAATTGAGCAAGAGACAGAAAAGGAAAGCAGCTCTGAACTGTTCTCTGAGCCAATTATGAGTCACTTTACCTCCCTCTCGGTCTCTCTCTCGCTATCTCATGATAAACTGACTGAATTGACGTCTGCAGAGAGAGCGATAGCTATCGAATTTCACCTCACTGCCATTTGACTAAAGCTTCACCCCCTCTGGTCCCTGTGAAGCGATACCATCACAGACGGTTTCACAGCCTCCAGATGGGTAATCGGCCGGCCATTTGGCAACAACAAAGGACAACAGGGTGTTTTTGTGGTCAGCTTCCTTCAATGGGTGGGCTGCACACATGAGGTATAGCGTCACATTCTTTTGCAAGTGACAAATTGGCTGGGGACAATATAGCTTGTTAGATCTATCTCTAGATCTGATGGGTTTTTTTAGGAAGCCCAGGTCCTCAAGCTCGACAGGACTCATTTTGCCCATTGCGGCCCCACCGGAACCCCTCGCCAGAGCATCTGATAAGCGCAGTGGCTGTCAGTCTTAATTAGAGGTTCACGTAAGGCAATCTCCCTCGTGGATCTCGCTGATATTGATTAAAGGAGAGTGGGAGATCCTACTGAACACGACCGCTTGGGGCAGAAGATGGCCAACTGATGGATTCTGGGAAACAGCATGGAGGACCACTGATGCTGGAACAATCTTAAAAGATATTGTAGACTACGAGATGTGATTTGGCACGACACATGAGTTTAAGTGGTTTGTGGAAATAGAAAGTGGTTGCTATGGTGTTTCAGGTCAGAATGTTAACGTTGCAGTGTTGCTATGGTGTTCAAATTAACTTGCGATCTGTGTGGAGCTGCCTTGTGGAGCTGAGCGAACTCATTTACTGTACTGACAGCTCAATGTTTTGATTGGGTAACACAATTCATAGATATAACGAGTCAGTATCGATTGACCATGAAAAGGGTTTGGCAACCCATTTACAGCCATAAAGAGGCATATTTCTCTGATTAGATTGCAAAAGATGGGTTGAGGCTGAAAAACAAAAGGGCTTGGAGAAAGGGGAAGTCATTTTAGACGCGGTGCAAGATTATTTTTACATGCACTGATAAATCTTGTAAAATAAGACCAGGAATTAAGTTGGTAAATACTTGATTTGTGAAGACTTAGGTCAACAACGAATGCGTGTGTGTGCGTGACGACTGTAAATGGTTGTAAATGTGCGAGTACGTATGTATTCAGCGGGCTACAGAGCTCATTCTGTTTAATACCTATCCCTGTCCTTGATGGTGGAATCGGGACAGTAAGTTGCCATGGCAACCAATATCCATAATGGTTGCTACAGCGATGAGAGAGCAAAGCACATGCAGTGGTTGTCAGGGGCGACCAGGGAGAGCGAGAAAGAACGAGAGAGATCAGTTAAGTGGATGGGTAACAGCAAGAAACAATTGAACATAAAGATTCAAACCGATCTCATTCAGCCGGGAGATGAAGGGATGCAACCTTCACTTTGCAGAGGGTACACACGAGAGAGAGCGAGAAAATCACAAGTGATCGGTCAACACGTGGCATCCAATCTGGAGCAAAGTCACCCTCTCCTTCCAGGGGCCTTTATTTGAGCACATCGCAGCACTGATTATTTTTAGGTCTACGCCACTGCCGTCTCCCTGGAATAGGCTGTCCGTGAGCGCCAGTGGCCATGACGGCAAGGTTAAAAGTTGGGTGGCAATGTGCATACATTCCAGATGGTACAGCACCGCCTCAAGGGTCATCTGTCGCCATTTCAAAGTTCAATGATCTTGCAATCCTGTTCGCCTTGTCACGATCAAAGGGGCAGGATGACCTTTCAACTCACCGGCAGACTCGGCAGAATCTCCCAGTCTGGCACAGTCAAGGGTTGCTGTTAAAGAGATGACCTCTAAAGAGATCTATCATCGACAACTAATGCAGAAGTTAAAGGTGCCAGACTGTGCGAGCCACCTGGGGTAGACGACAACGCTGTGGGCACTATTCCCAGTTGCAAGCTGAGTAAATAAATGAAAATCACAAGGCCCCCGTTACGCCTTGTGAAAATGGCAATTAGCGCATTTCGCAATGTCTACGTGCTTCAGTTGCCATGGTGCTCGCTGCTTCGGTGAGTTTTTAATAAGCTAATAAGCAAGTTCAAAACCGAGCGAGCCCACAGAGAGCACATCTAGGGAAATGTCTAGGCATAGAAATGGTCACATAATGAGCACGGTGATGTGCCGTCATGCTCCCAATATTATAAACCAACAAATCCAGGCTGCTATCACAAAGCTGAAGAATCAACATCTCTGTTCGGAGCCTACGAGGGTTAAATAACAGGCAAAGGCAATCAGCTGAGTAGGGATGGGCAACGATTAATCGCGATTAATCGCATCCAAAATAAAAGTTTGTGTTTACATAATATATGTGTGTGTAGTGTGTATAATTAATTTGTATATATGAATACCCACACATGTATGTGTATATTTAGGAAAAATGTGTTATTAATATTTCAAATATTTATATTTATATATAATATTAATTATGTGTAAATATTAGGGGTGTAACGGTACACAAAAATCACGGTTCGGTACGTACCTCGGTTTTAAAGTCACGGTTCGGTACGTTTTCCATACAGCAAAAAGAAAGAAATGCCAGAGAAATTTCCTATTTGTTTAAAGAAAAAATATTTGTAAATAAGTTTGAGTTTTCCTAGATCTTGAAACTTTCAGGTTTATAAATGGGGGTCATCTTTGAAGGATGAACAAATAATGTTTTGGTCATCACATTAAAAATAACATTTAAATATATATTTATTTATATAATATTTGAATTTTGAAGTGCTGGAAAAAGATGTGTGAAGTACTTGAAAGCATTTCACCATTCCAGCCAAACTGGTTCCAGTTAGTGTTACTATATTAAATCCATGGTGAATGTTGCTGGTCTGTGGACGAAAGTATTACTATTTCATTCACGGCACAATGTTTCTCCTGGTTTCCATGACAGCGCTGTTTGATCTAATAGAGATCTACGGTTAATAACGGAGAAATGTGAATGCATCTCACTAGATCTCGCAGCGATGTTATTACCTCAGTAGCGAATTCAAATGTTTTCTTTACCGGATCTCTTAGCGCGGTGTGGTAACAGTGTTGCTTGATCGAGATCGGCTCTCGCTGCACAGATGTTGCTGGTCCGAACTGATAAACGATCCGTGAAGCACATAACGAGGAGCGCAGTTTCGTTCTGCTTTCATTACCCTTGCCATTTGGATGTTGCGCAACATTGTGTTGGCCGCGTCAGCACGAATTTTGCCGGCAAGAAAAATGGTCCAAGCAATCGTTCGGTTTGTATGCGTACCGAACCGGAAGCCTCGAACCGAAACGGTTCAATACAAATACATGTACCGTTACACCCCTAGTAAATATATATAAAGAATATACATGCAAATATTTCTGAAATATATACATGCATGTGTGTATTTATATATACAAATTAATTATACACACTACACACACATATATTATGTAAACACAAACTTTTATTTTGGATGCGATTAATCGCGATTAATGGTTGCCCATCCCTACAGCTGAGGCACGCGGTGTTGCCCGTGCTGATTGGATGATTTGTACTCGTCCAGTCAAGGTTAGCATGTGCTGGAAGGCAGCTGGGGAACAGCCAGGGCTGCGTCTGATTTGTGTTGTTTTTAGCTGTCAGTTGACATCTTCTCAGTGCACCGTCAGCAACACTGAGCGTGAACTGGTCATCAAATACAATTAAAAAGATTAAATGAAACCATCACTCATTCTAAATTGTGCGCAATTTTTATCAGTGCGCTTGCTCAATTTATGATTGGAATTAACTCCTGGCGGGTTTTCTAATGGCATTCATTTGTCTTTTTTTGGTAGAGCCGTGCAGAGCTTCCGCAGTGTGGCTGCCCTCACGGACAGAATGCTAAACAGAATTTGACTGACTGATTGATTAATGCCCTGTAGCAGTCTGTCGTCCGCGGTTCTCGTCGTTTTGGGGGCGGGGCCTAGAATGTGCGGCTGTGACACTGGGAGAGATGTGGAGGAATGGTGAGAGTAATAACGTGAGTGATTTTGTGAAAGGGGGTTTAAAACAGAGAAGAGTGCTTCAGACAATGACAAACAAGAGCATTCATGGGAGATGAGAGAGACAAATGTGTACTTACCTATCCACCTGTCATTCCCATACCAAGAGAGATTGCCTTTGGTCATATCATAGTATCCAATCTTTTTGTAGCTTCCTCCTGCAAAAAGAAAGGGAGAGAGGGCAATTGAGAAACAGTTTAAAGTCAACATCAGATGGCATTCGTAAAGCATTTTTTGAAACAAGACATTTAAGGAGAGAAAATGTTATTGACTTGATTTTATGCATTGTGAATTCTTATGCAAATGTGGCAGAGATGCGAAGTGGCGACTACCAGTGGGAGTGCAGGTTGACCCCGTTAACATGCACTTAAGAAAACGGTTTATTTCAGTTTTTGAAAAACATCATGTAAATATGAACATTTTCCTTGTCGCTTAGTATACCTCAAAAATATATATTTTTAATATTCTCTGATCATCCAACAACAAGAGATCAATTATTGTAATCGAGCGGTTTATTCCCAGTCTTCTGAAGAGACACAATCATGAGCAGATTTAACCTTTTATTCACATGTAAACATTGATGTGTAGCCTAAAGAGCACATGAAATATGGTAAAAAGAAGTTTGTGCAATGAGTTATATTAGCATGTTTCTCTTCTTTTTACCGAGCTCTATGCATGTGTGTTGATTAATAATTTGGACCTTATTGTAAAGTGTTACCATTACATCTAAATAAAGACTAAATTAAACCTGTTCATCATACAAAGCGATCATGTCTCTTTTAATTATTTTAAGTTTAAAGTGTAAATTCACAGCTGAGCTAAAATATTATTTCATTGGGTTAGATGTTCATAAACTGTTAAAGGAACAGTTCAACATATAATATTCAACACTTAAATATGCTTCTTTAATCTTCTTAATCTGTTATTAACTGTTTTTACAGTAACCTTTAATACATTAAAATGATCAAGTATTAAATTACTGCGTTAGCTATTGGGAAAATTTTATAAAAACTAGGCTGACTACAACAATAGCCTAAAATAATTCTTTAGCTGTTGATTAACATTAACTAGTCTACACAGGTGAATTAAAACAAAAAAGGAAGCCATGATGTGTAAAATGTAATATATTTTGAAACAGTCGCAAAAAGACCAAGAATATGTACTACAACCGTAAACAGGGAAACATTTGATTTCACGATTGGCTTTAAGAGATGAAGGAAAGGAGTGGAAAACAGATAACATGAAAGGAACAAAGGAAAGAGAAATGTCACTACACATTGCTGTAAATCAATACTGTGAGGCTGAATCAGATTTTAGGCAGGCCTTTAGAGACCAAACAACACTTGGATTAGACAAACAGACTGAAAACAGATCTATCATCAATCCTTATTTTCCAGCAGGCGTATCAGCTGAGCTTTAAATGAGAATGCACAACAGGGTTGCTCTCCCCTAAAATCAGCTTTATAGAGAGTGCTGTAATTGCATACCACCGTATCAGCAGTGCTTGAGTAAAAACCGTAAGCCAGAGGAATTTATCTTCTATTACGTTCTCTCTCTCCTGCTACATTTCTCCATTTTCTTTCATGCCCGCCCTTCCTCTCCTTCTCAAACGCACACTGGCAGGCAACAGAGATCTGTGCAGGGCTATGCAGCTCTGGGTCTTCATCCCCCAAACAAAACGAGAAATTAGCTTAAGTGAGAACTATTATAATTATCAGGTAATCATTAAGCGTAATCACTCCAGGCAGCTTGGGCTTCCCCCTGGGAGACTTGAAAAAGAGGGAAAGAAGACAGAGGAAGAAAGAAAGGCTCTGGAATAATAATGATACAGGCATGAGAATGAATGCCTAAAAGACTCATTTCCACAGTTTATAGTATCCTCTTAGCTTCCTTACGTCTCTGCCTGTAGATCTTCCAACTGTTTCATTTTGAACCCAACATTCTCAACATTAATAAAAGCAGAGTGAAGTGACGTGAAGGCTAAGTATGGCAACCAATACTGAGAATTTATCCTCTGCATTTATCCCATCCAAGTTAGTTAGGAGTAATGAGTAGCAAACACACACACACAGGGCCGTGACCTTCAGGTTACAAGTCCAACTCTCTAACCATTAGGCGACAATACGCCTTATTCACGGCAGCGCCATCTTTGATTTTTAATGAGAATGAAAGCGAGGCTGTGAGGGATAGACTTGCATCTCTGCAATGGGCTGTACTGTTATTTAATGTGTTTTCGGATTGTTCTGCTCATGAAACACTGGAAAAATATCTTTTAAAGAAATGTCAGTTTACAAAAAACTCCCGACAATGTAAGCTTTGGAAAATTATAAGTAATCTAGCCGCTTTATTCAGCTTTTTAGAGCGGATGCCATTGGAAACACAGTAAGTCTATCCCTCACAGCCTCACTTTCATACCTGTCATGGCGCTGCTCTGAATAAGGTCTATACTGCCAACAAAACCACATTTAGTGGTGCTTGTAAAGGACCTTTCTCCAAACTTCACCATTGCCATTGCATAATTTGAACATCTAGGAAGCTATAACATCTAGGCAAACACCAAATTTAGCATAGCATTGTGAAGGTAGCTTTCACATTGGCTTGGCAATGTCTTAGCAACTGCCTAGCAACACCAATTTATGTATGGGCAAGCATCATTTATATTTTGGTGGGCTTTTTTTTTTTTATTTGGGAAAGTAAATCATCAAGCATTGCCCTAGCTACCACCTTAGCAACAGCATAACAATGCCATGACAACCACCCACATCAACCTAAAATGTTGGAGGTGGCTTTTGATGGGTAAGCACAACTCACATGTTGGTGGGTTTTTGGCAGGAAATAACCACATAGACATGTCCTAGCAACAGCACAACAAAGCCCAAGCAACTTCCTACAGTTACCTATTTTTGGTGGACTCTTTTGACTTGGACCAGTAAACAACAACCTAGCAACGATTTAGCAAATTCACAACAACACCCTTGCGACCCCCCTTTTCATGAACAGGCTTCAGTCACATTTTGGAGAGATTTTTTTGATTTGGTCCAGGAAGTGACAAGCAAAGCACACAAAACACCCAAGCAACCGCACAGCAACACCTTAGCAGTTGCACTTCAACTGGAGCAACCTAGAACACTGTAGTAGAGTGGCAGGGTTCTGGAGTTCTGGAGGGGCAACCACTCTAAAAACACTAAAGTCTAGGTCTATTTTTTACTGTGTCAAACAAAGAAGGATTGACGTAGGATCTGGGCACCGGCAGAGGCACAAAGCGATGTGACAGATTGAACAGGGGAACACAGGCGTACTGATCAAAAAGACAGCTTCTGAAATGACGCCAAAAGAAAGATAGAAAACAAACGACAGGAGAGAGAAAAGGATCCAATCTATGTGAGATAGCAGAGGTTGAAGTCACAATGCACTTGTCACTCGAAGAGGTTAACAAGCAAATGAAAAGGAGAGATGCCCCTGTGTGTGCGAAGATCAAATGGCATATTTAAGTCTAGAAATACGGCTGTATGGAACAAGTGGCTTTGATTGGTATCCGAGATGACGGTTGTATACACAATTCCTTCCAAAAGACAGTATTGAAAATGAGCAGTCATTCTTACAATGCTTGCCTTGTTAGAGTTCCAATCCCACAACACTGATCTCTTCAAAGAAGCTCTAAATATCTGTGAGTAAGGCCTTGGATTCTTGTTAACCTGCCTGACCTTTGCCAGACTAGGCCAAATGACCAATCTGCCATATTCATGAAGAGTTGTAGTAGCTTCAAACCTCTTTTTATTTAGCAATAATAGAGTTCACCGAGCTCCTGTGAACCTTTAATACCATCAGTTTTTTACACTGGCATCCACATTTATACATCGACACAACACTATATCAGAGGTTTGTGGAGAGATGTTTGAACCCAGTGCAGAATGTTGGCTCGTTTTCTAAACTCAAAGTCGATAGGCTTTCTAAGCAAAACCCCATTCATCGTCATACAACGGGACTCGGAGTGACAAAGAAAAGGAACCACACATGATGTCTGGTTAAAATTGCTTTGACTGACCCTCGTAGCAACTATAAAGTATGCTGGTGGAAAGATTTTTGGTTTTGGGTTACTTTCTGCCTCAGGGCCTGTCAGCTTGGCATCACAGGGTAAACCATGAATCCCAAATTGTACCAGAGGACTAGACCACGTGAGACCATCTGTCAAAATGCAAAAGCTGAAATGTAGACATGTACAAAGCAGATAATACAATAAAATGACTCAAACCCCCTTAAGCAAAACCACAAAAATAGTCAAAAAATAAATAAATGTTGGGCTATCGATTGGAAAAGCAAAATCCAAGACTTCATATTAAGTGGTGAGGGACTTGAAACAGAATGTGCAAGCACAAAAAACACAGAGTCAAAGGCTCTAGATGGAATATAAAGCAACCATTGTTAATGTAAGACACAAATACACCTTAAACACCTACAACAAGTGACTTCTGCCATAAGTAACTCTTGCTTCTTTTTGAATCCTAACTTTTGTTCAGGGTGAACTAAGTGTGCATTTATCCTCTTTGAAAAGTGTTAGACCTAAAGAAATCCATGTCTTTTTGAAAAATATGTTAAAAACGATAGACTCCTATGGAGATGAAGAATTATTCAATCATAAAAGGGACCTAGAAAACTTTTAAAGAGTGGTGCCATGTTAAGATCAAATAGATAACAAACAGCACATAACTAAAGCTGTGGTCAAAATTAATGGCACCCATGATAAAATGGCAGTAAAAAAATCAATCTGCATTGTTTATCCTTTTGAACTTTTCCAAAAATTGGACAATTACACCCATAATGGCATCAGAAACTGAAACTTTTCACTTTTGCATGATACTGCATCTGGTGTCTGTATAAAACCAAAGAGTTACTAACTGTCTTACAATGACAACTGTCAGTGTGAAAACATTGTCCCAAGATGTTTTTCATAAATTTTGGACACAGAATTCATATGGGACTTAAATACCATGGAGGGAAATATAAAATATTTTAAAATCAATATGGTGGGTAACAAGATTGATTTGTCAGCAAGGGTTTAGACAGATCACAATGCAAGCCTCTTGTTACGCAGATAAACAACATCCAGGATCAACACTGTTCAAGTACCGCAGGGTAAGATTAAATTCATTTACATTTAACTAGATTAATATGGAGACGCACTGAATCGTAGACCTTCATTTATGTGCTTTTGACCTATTCTGTACAGTTAAAGTTTACCGGTAGAGACAGAGAGTATTTAGCCATGCTCACACCGGGGATAAAACAATCCAACCGTCTACATTGACTTTGCATTGCGAGAGGATGCCTCCTTGTCGTTTATGACTTATAACAAAAAATTAAAAAAAACAAGCTAAATAACCCAGGAATAAATTTGCCACAGCAAAATGGCTGCCCACTGCTCCGTGTGTGTTCACTACTCACTACTCCTAATGAGTTTGCACTAACTTGAAAGGGTTGAATACAGTATGGACAAATTTCGAGTATGGGTTGCCATACATACCTTCACGTCACTTCACTTCAAATTGATTGATCTTAAATGTAAAAACTGACAAAACGTAATGGGTTTAAAACTATTTTTTTTTTCACTTGGATAGGAGAATGGCTTCTTCTGAACCATGTCTACTGAAATATTCAGTGAATTTTATTAAGTTTTCATGCACATGTAATTTTTGTCTCTTTAATAATTTTTGCAGTGTGCATGAGAGCTAAGGGGAAAAAAGATAGTGAGCTAAAAAAACAACAACCTCAAGCTTCGGTTCTCCGGCTTTTGCAAGATGATTACAGCTCTAGAGTGTTTGAACCCAGGAAAAACAGTGTTTTACCTGGCACCTGTGCTACTCTCCAAATGGAGCGAGAACACGGATCACAGAGTCGTTCATTTCAGAATTGAGCAGAGGCAATCATGCATACGGACTACATCTGCTGTCCACACTCACTCTAAGTTACCCCTTATTTTCTGTACCTTACATTTTTCAAGGGAAAGTAAATCATAAAATTACTTTATTTTGCTCACCTTGCAGTTGCTCAATGAGGGTCCATGCCATTCTGGAGCCCTGGGCGTCAAACACCACGTGACCCTGAGAGAGAACGGAAAAATTTGTACAGCTCTGTGTATACTTCACTCATAAATTGAGTTTGTTAGCATCAGTGTTATTTATATGATATTATGGTATTTTTATATATATTAAATTAGCTTTTACCTTTATAAATTTATTTTTCATTACATTTTTACTTTAACCCAGTAAAACCTGACATATGAAATAATAGTCATAAAATAATAGTCATCTTTTTTAAACGTTTACTGAACCTTTAAACAAAATATTAAAAAAATATAAGACATAACAGGCTTTTATGACTCATAAAACAGTATGATATAGGAAAATATGGAGCTTATTTTTGAGGAGGAAAAAAAGGCCCAAACTGAGCAAAAAATACACTTTGGTGCAATTTTGGTACTGTACTGTATTGGTAGTTTGGTAGTTTTTTGATAATAATATTTTTTTTTTTACATATAATTTAATGAAATACAATGATCATTGAGATATGTACTTTAAACTTTCATTAAAAGCATGTTTTATAATATTTGATATAATATTCCAACGGTTATTTAAATTTTAATTAAATTAAAATTTGAATTGCTAAAAACGTCATAAGATCACAATTCATGTAGATTCTGTTCAACAGTTTTAATCATGTTGACAATTTAGACGCCACATAAATGGGCATATCAAATGTGATACAGTATTTATATCATTAAGTTTTAGTACTTTTTTTAAGCCTAAGTTCTTCATCAAATATTTATATTTTATTTTATGTCTGGTTTATTTTAATTTATGATTATCATCATTAGTTTTTTTGTATTAACGATAACAACACTGGTAAGAATTTTGGTTTCTGCTGTGGTATCACAATTGCATACAGTATCATTAAATTTAACTGCCACTGACTACTGAACCTTTGCCATCATGACGACTTTAATACCTTTATATCCAATTATTATTTAGCCAGAGCTGTCACTCACCGAAACCCCCTCGAAGGAGCTAGTGTTGAGGGCTCTGTAGATCTCAGCCGTGATGTCCTTGTTATTGTAATTAAAGTCTTCCAATCTGCGGCCTTTTGCCTTCAAGGGACCCACTGTCTTATTGAGCGCCAGAGCCAGGGCCCATACTGCATCATACGCCAGAGGAGCTTCCTGAAACCCTCCAGTTTCCTCTGGATTTTTCCCACCCAGCTTGGACATCAGCTGCGCTAAGAACTCCTGAGAGGTCTGGATCAAAAGAGCGGACATACGGTATCATCTGGCATGCATATGGATGCACAAACATGGCAAAAATGTAGTGCACTAACAAGGGCTTATGCTTGATGGATTTTAAGCATGACATCATGGTCACTATAAAAGCACTGAATTGAAAAAAGCACCAGGCTTCCCGCAGCGAAGAGAGAGGTCAAAGTAAGTTACAGTACAGTTCATCACCGTGGGAGCGCATCATATAGACGGAGGTACTTTTCTCCTGGGTGTGAAATCTTCATTCACACACACCATGACCTGAGGCGCCAAAAATAAACTCCCGCTTTCACACACACTCTGAAGATGTTCCATGTCATTAAGGGGGTACTGGGAGAAGAAATTGAGTTGGCGCGCTCTTATCGTGGCGGCATACAAAAAATGATTTCCTTGACATTTTTCACACCTTATAGAAACAGCTGAGGCACCTTCCTTGCTTCAAACAGGTGCATTTTGGGAAATGAGCCAAGCTGCAGATGGGCATCTGGTGATTGCTTGATGCAAATGGACAGTGAAGAACAGCGTGTGTGTGGATACAAACGACAGCATAAAGATGCATTTCAGCTTTCTTGAAATTACAGCCCCAAAGTGAGGGACAGTAAAGAGGGAACAAATTATGGTGGTGTTGAGGCAATCTAGCATGGGCATTTTATAACAAATTGTCCTGTGCAACACATGACTGTCTTTTTACGTCAGATTTGAAGCATAGGTGTCTGGATACGTGCCCAGATTGAGCCGGATCCAGGAAAACAGCAGGGACATATGCATGCGAGCCAATTCCCAGCACAGAGCACCGGAGTTGGGTGGGCTCCAGACAGCACCCCCTGGAGCTCACACCAGTCCATCCAGCGCTCCCAGGGGTACAACAGTTGGACCTGAATGCTCTGACCCCAACAGGACTCTTCGGATTTACAGATCTGAGAATAGCTAAAGTTATAACAGTAGGTTATGGGCTATTCCCAGTGGGAAAACGTTATAAGTCGTTATAGCTTGTCTACGCCACACTTATCTGAGGATGATGTCATTGTAAACAGTGTAGCATATACGAACACGCAGGGCACTGTTGGATAATTTTTAAGGATTTTTCAATGGTCGATGAGGACATTTAAAGAGCAGGATGGCTGATGGCCAATAGATACAGTCAAAACAGAATTCATTAATGCCAAATAAGATATAAAGAAATAAAGATTTTACAAAGAACATTCAAGTTGCTGAAGTGTTTTGTGGTTATTAGCGTGTTGCTAATATGGCTTATGTTTCTCCTTCAGTGTAAGCCCTGGCTTTTAAAGTCCCCGTGAACCGGAAGTTGCACACAAATTTTCTCCAGTGTTCTGACTAAGGCTGGGATAAACGATTATTTTTTAAACGATTAATCTAGCGATTATTTTTCCGATGCATCGATTAATCTAACACCGTGTCCTAAGTGGATTGACTTGCATGCATGAATTGTTCACCACTAAACGATCAATTTAGGCAAACAAAGTATGGTCAATTTAGAATTCATGGGGACTTTAAAGGGAATGGGAAATGAGACTCTGAGACCTTTTTCCCGTCGTTAAACTAGCAAAAGGGAATTCGGACACGCCCTACGTGCACTTGCACCGTGATTGTTAAAACAGGGCCCTTTAAGTCTGATTGCTTCAAAAAGTAAAGCTTTATGATTTGAGATACCATTCAAGCCAGGTCTGTGCCTAGCCACAGGACATTCTTAAGGAATTCATATGGATCAATGAGAAAACATTATTCAGGCCCACTTACCAGGTTAGAGGCCCCTCGCACCGTCTCTGGATTGAGCATGACTATCTCAGTGGTCACATGGCCCTCCACAGCTTCTGTCATCTGTTCCACTGTGCAGTTGATGGATGGGTCTTTGATCTTGAACCAGTTGTCAGCATACCAGCCAATTAGAAACCACACATATTTTTTCCCATACAGTTTCTCCTTATAGACCTGCATTTGGGTTGTGTGAAACAGGTTGGGTTAGGCAACGACTTGAATGAAAAGAATGAAAAATGAACAGAAACTCCATGTTTCCCCTTTGACATTGACATAGATTAATCATGATCAGCTGGACGGCTGATTACCGACCTCACAAAAAACGTTCCTGGCTTCCGTTTCGTAAAACAGTCCCACAATGATGCGTGCGTCTTGCCGCTGTAGGAGCAGAGAAAGAATTGATGATCAGAACAAAGAAATGAATGCAACAAATTTGCAAAAGTCAGTGAATTAGCATGAGAGGGAGGTTCCCTTCGTATTTGAGAGTGCTACTATGCATAAGACTGCAGTAATTTTGGTTTGGACAAGCAGTCCAATCAGTGCTACTTTCCCCTCTCAGCAGTGTGCTATTCCAGGTTACCATGGTTCCTCTGGTGGTACTTCATTAATCTTGTGCGCCAAAACTAGGGCAGTACACATGGCAGGCCTTTGCTAAACAGGCAGCCAGGGGCCCAGGCGTCGCTGGAGAGAGCAGGATGGGGTAGCGGTAGGGCTGGGGGGGGGGAACAGATCATCTGACCCATGTTCCAATTAAAATGATTCTCCTCAAGAAAAAGAGCAGATTCCCACAATGTTGTATTTTTCTCTCGGACTTAAATGATGTCCTTTGGCGTGAAAGTGCCAGAGCTAGCCAATCACAATAAAGGTGCATATTCCTGTCTGTATGGAATTGTTTATGGGGGAAACAAAAAAATGCTTTGCTTAAAGAAAATCAAGTCTATTTTTAGAGAAATAAATTTTTTTATTGTGATATTATTTATTTAACATGACATATTTCCCCCCAAATCCCCCTTACCATGGTACAAAACAATAGTAAGGTAATCTAAAACGCATTGTTATAGTAGTATTTGCTAGGTAGATTTAAATAAAAAACTAAATTAAATCACTATATGACAATATATTAGGTTATTCTTAACAAATAATGTTAAGAATAGTTTTTTATTTTATTTATTACTTAAATTGAACTTGAAATATATAAAGTTTAACATTTTTTGAGAAGGTGGGGTTAATTTTTTTTAATAATTATTGGGGAAATACATTTTGTCAATATTGGAAAAGCAAAACAAATATTTTTCTTATTCATTATTAAAATGAAATCATACAATTATTTAGTATTGCTTCCTAAAATGTAATACTAAAACAATTATGGAAATTACAAAAACAACAAAAAGTGCAAAAATGAAGCATCTAGAAGCAATACGGTAGATGGGGGGGGGGGGGATATCATGTAATTTATTAAAGGTAATGCGTCAATAATTTCTTGTATTTTTTCCATCTGATTTTGGGTTGAGATGTGACCTGGTGTTTTAGTGAGATTCACCTTTAAAGTCTTTAAAGTCAGTGAGGTCATAAATGAAATGAGTGAAAGTGAAAGCACCTTGAGGTTCTTGACGGCCACAGCAGGATCCGTGAGGAAACTTTGCCTCACACTGATCTCAATGCCTGCCTCCTTCACCCTCTGCTCTAGATCATCCAGAGTCTGAGAGAGAGAGAGAGAAATTAAAGGAGAATTGAGAAAGAAAGTGAGGGAAAGTAAAAAGCATGGAGACAAGAAAAACATTCGTAGATGAGTGAGGGAGGTGATGTCGCGTAGAAAAAGCAAGAGACGGGAGAGGATATTATTGTGGCAGAAAGGCAGAGATAAGACATGAATGGAGAAAAAAAACCCGAAGAAAAAAGGAAAATTAGAAAGAGATCGGCAAATTTCATTTATTTTGTTGGGGCTTTTTTACTGTCCTGCGTGTACCAATAAAACAAGCGTGAACATTTTAATACAGTCTGTGTAACCTCAGGCTACAGAGTGCATGATGAAACAAAGAAATAGAGCCATGCATTCATCAGCTACAGCCCACAATCCCAGATGTTATCTTATACAGCACACAAGCACACTTTACCTACATAGAATACAAAAATACATGCTATACCCTGAGTAGCACAACCAGATATCCGCTGCATTTTGTTTTACAAGTTCCAGGGACAAGGACAAGGTTTCTGTCCACACTAGAAGAAAAACACTGCGTATAATTTGATGTAATCCAGTCAAGATGACTGACAGCATAGATCAAATTCGACCCTTTCTACTTACTATTAAAATAATGTTCCTTGTATCTTATTGTGCGCAAATTATTCAAAATAAGGCAGTTTCAATGTGAAGTGGGATTTAATTTTATTCAAAAAGCATTTATTTGTTTATTCAGAATTATTTGATTAGATTTAATACTAATTTGTTTAATTTGATTTAGATATATTTTATATAAATATATATAAATAATTTGAATCAATCACAAAATGATTCGATTTCATTAACAAACATTTAATTTAGTATTTTCTTTAAAAACTTCCCTTAAAGCATCTTAGTAAGTGCACCAAAAGCTCAAGGACACACGATAATAAAAAGATAATAAGAGAAGTGATATTGATGACTCGTTATTTTAAGCTTAAATATTTTCTGCGCAAAAAGACACCAACTAAACAGTAATGCAAGTAAAATGAAAAAAAAATTAATTTAAAGAAAATAATGCAGTCAAGTTTTCATGCAATGAAAGCATTTTATTTCAGTTTCATGTTTTCATGTAAAACCAATGGCATATCTACTCATATTTCATGATCGAGGCAAATTGATTTTTTAATGAGAAACAGTGTGAATTGTTACTTACGGAGCCTGTGTGTATTACATTTCTGTACTTGCGTGAATAAACTCAAATAATTAATGCATCGTTTTTTGGGAGGAACACAATAGTTTTGCCAGTGGGAATATTTTGTAATTTCAAAGCATTGAAATATAATTTTTCTTTCCATCTCAGAATTTTATCCATTACCATACAGGGTCCCTTAGTTACACTCCATTTTCAAAGAGTATTTTCATAATTCAAGCTTTGAAACAACTTTCTTTTTTTTGCTTATGTAAATAAGACTGCATATATTTTGACCAAATAGTGCCACACTATTGACTGCAAACTCTGATATGAAACGCTCACCTGACATGAATTCTGAATGGATGAAATCCAGTCCTGCCCTACACTTTTTGTCCTCAATGAATATTCAGGTTCACTTGGAAATATACTTTTACAATTCAAATTGGTCACATTATTTAAATTAACTTGGTTGTGAATATCAATTAATGCTTTAATAAGACTTTGATATGTAACTATGCAGAGCAGGATTATGGACCAATAGGATTTCACAGTGGGTGGGGTTACTTAGGACAACACACAATGAACAAGCAACAATCATCTCGTATCAGCTGATTAGGACACCTCCTCCTAACACTGGTCAACATATGGAAAATGTTTCTGTTTGACCTCTGTTGTGCAATGGTCTGCAAGCTTATCATTGAATAATTATTGCTTTTATACATCTTTAAACATCTCACTCACAGAGGTGAAGACCTCGGTGGTCTGCTGGATGGTGGCGATCTTGGTCCACTTCCACTTCTGAAAGAGCTGCACGCGGGTGGGGTTGTGCAATGTGGCTGAGGGGTGCGTGCGGAAGAAGGTGGGGAAACGCTGACGGTTGGACAGAGCTGGTGAACTGGATCCATAGGACAACTGCAAGCAAATGAGAAATGCATAAGAGAAAGACATACACACACTATACAGGACACTGAGACTTTTGAAGGAAAATTAGAAACAAGCGAGTCACCCGGAGGAAAACCAGTGCCCAAGTGGCTAAATTATCTCCTGCACGGTTTACTCGGAACAGCTTTAGTTAACATCGGGGACTGTAGTGTGTGAGACAGGCGTAAAAAGCTGTGTTAAAAAAATAAATAAATGCAAAACAGAGGTGTAAAGTAAAACATTTCCTGTTTTAAGTGCAGCACCGACATCAGTCAAAAAATGATGACAGCAGAGGGTTTTTAGATATTTTGCCAATAACTCAATGTCATTCCTAGATGCAGCGAGATGTCGTTGATTGACAGGTCTTCTGAGGGGGTGGAAAAAGAGAGGGTTTCAAGGCCAGCGGGGGGATATATAGGTCAAAACTCATATGTGAAGAGAAAAAGCTCTCAACAGATATAAAAATAGAGCAGAGCATGAAAAATAAAGAGACTGACTTTCAAAAAGAAAAAAGAAGATGAGGCATTGGGAGTGCACTTCAAAGACGTGCCAAAAGCGAAATAAAATTACATAAATATCTGATCTAAATTGCCTCGAAGCCATTTTACTGATTTTGGGTATTTGTATGAAGTGCTGCATGTTCTGAAATGGGAACGCATTTCGGTAGCTCATCTTAACTGTGGTATTACACTTTCAGTGATTAGACCTGCTGGAGATTTCGGTTTGTGATGCACAGTGTCATAATGAAGCCATCAATACCAAATGCAGGGGTATGTTCCTCCCCTTTAATGCAATTAATCCTGCCTTCTGATGAGTACATTCAATAAATATCCTGTCTTATCGACCTCAGAGAGACTGACAAATGCAATTAAATGAATTGCTGTGGGATTTAAGTCAATGATTGAAGATTGAAGGTTTATTTACAGTAATATGAAAAAACAAAAAAATACATTTACTTCTTCCATTTACTTCTTTGAATGTCTTCCAAGCAAATATTTATATAGCCTATGCAATTAATTCAGTTAATTTGATTGAAATACTTAATCGATTGACAACCAATCAGTAAGAATTTTTCTCTTATGTTGTTCACCCAGGCTAAATTTATTTGATCAAAAATACAATAAAAACTCCACCTGTATTTAAACATTGGATTAATGATGTTATGCACTATTTAACACTTGAGCAATATAATTTCTCGCTATAATTTGCAGGGTAATAACATTAAATTCAGTAATATCTGGCAACCTGTTCTTACATTAATCGAACAAATGGACTCTAATGACATTGTATGATGTTTTTTTTTGTTTTTTTGCTATCATACCTGTAGTGTGATGTGGGTGGGTGGGTTCTTGGTTGTTAAGTTGTTGTTTGTTGTATGTTAAAATACAATAAAAAGACTTTGATCAAAAAAAAAACAAAAAAAACAATAAAAACATATTGTTAAAGATTATTAAAAAAAAATAGAATTTATCTGAAATATAATTTTTTGTAACATTATAAATGTCTTAACTGTCCCTTTTGACCAATTAATACATCTTTGCTGAATAAAAGCAGCCTATTATTTCTTTCATAAAAAAAGTCTTACAAATGTAACCATGGTTCCCTGAGAAGCGTAACGAGACTGGGGAAAGCCTACAATAACATTGGCCAGCGCCAGCCTATTACATCACTACTGATGGGGTATAAAAAGGGTGCCTGTAGTACATACATACAATTCTTGTCTGAAGCAGACCTGGGCAGGCACACCTGAAACATGGCAATGAGACGCAGAGTCTCGTTCCCCTTCTCAGGGAACCATGATTACATTCATAAACCAAAACGTTCCCACTCGAATGGGAAGTTGCACTGCATCCTAGGACGCTGATGGACTCCTCCATCTGGAAGGAATGAGTGTCGTATGGCTAACACAAGTCAGTGACTCCAGAGGAACTGATCCAGAGTCATAATTCCCCTTCCTAACAGTACGTACCAATATTAGTCGTGACTCTATTCCCTAGGGCCAGGAGCTCTGGCTACATCGGGCAGCTTAGCTCAGGTATTCAAATAATACCTTAAAGGGAATATGGCCTAAAGGATATAAATATACCCTGCCAGTCGCCACAGGAGACATACCCCTGATAATACATCCTTTCGACAAAAACCCCCCAAAAAATACTACCTGTCTTCGACTACCTGTCTTTGGGGTTTAAACCTGTAACGTTTTAGTTCCCTGATATTTAACAACTAGGCTGAAGGATCCCATTTCTACAGAACCTACTGTACATGTAAACAAACATTCTTTCAACGACAGCTTATCTCTGAACATTCAAAGTGAGCCTACCACTATAAGGTTCCACATGCGAGCAGCCTCGGCCACAAGTGTGGACACAGAGCTGCAGCCAGGCATCAAAACGATTTTTATGGGCTCCGTGTACAGAAGGTCATATAGCAGCTTTGTGGCCTCTCCGGGATCACACTGAAGGCAGAGAGAAAGAGAAAAACATTGGAATATATAACATATATTCAGATTTGAAGCACAGCTGTCACAATTCATGAGGCATTCTGTCACTTCATGCAGAAAACTGCAGACCACAACAACAACACATTTCACACTGTATATACATTTGCTGCAGCCGTCAGAACCCCCATAGGGAGAGAGACTTCATTTCATACTGAATCACATAAGTAGAGATAAATATGCATTGAAAGGCAGAATAAAACAAGCAGAGACAGATAAAGCAATACACATGCATACTGTAGAGGGGAAAACTGCAGTCTTCCAAGGACACATACATTTGCCCATATATACTTCTTAACCTTTATTTAACTAGGAAAGTCACATTGAGGTTAAAACCTCTTTTACAAATGAGACCTAAAATATACACCAAGAAACAATGTTTGTTTGCTGGACATGTACCCTCATCAGTCTTTAACCCGATATTGACAATCACCCCTTTGTCTTAAAATTACTGTCTATGAAAGATCAATATCTCATTTAAATGATAATAGTACGTTAAGGACACAATTGATCATGTGTTGAGAGTAAACCGGGTTGCAGCCAATGGCCTTGAGCACAGCCAGAATTTCTAAAGCTGAGCTTTTGTTTAGTTTCTGTTGATCTGGGAACAGAGAGAAGCTTAAAAAGGAGCAAAACCTATAAAGAATAAAAATGATTCAAGGCTTGATTGATGCAATCACAAATTCAATTGGCAGGACCGTTTGGTGACTGACTGCTCTTTACTTATTGGCGTCTAATCTGGCATCCATATCCTGAGACACATCTCTATTTCTGTCTCTCCTGATGATTTTAATTTCTTCTAAACATACAGCTAAATCAATCAATTATTTCTGTTACAACAAAAGAAGTGCTTTAGTGAGAAACTGCTTTTCTTGTCTGAATAACAATATGAATGCGACATTCCATACAGTTATGTGAGTTACATCAACTGCCTCCACTGCAGACGCATGCCTACACATTCTTTTTAATAAAGTAAATAAAATGAGCAAGATTGCACATAATATGTTCAGGCACACAGTACGTCTTCAGGAGTCGGTGGTGAGAATGCTACCATAGACTCTCTCCAGACTCCCAAGGGGTCATCAGCAAAATCGTACCCACACAGTGGAGATCTAGTTTGGTCTCTAAATCTCCCCCTGCCCGACTTTCTAACCCTGAGGGAAGGAAGCGCGAGTCTAACTTTTTAAATGCACCTGGGCTCCAGCTAATCAAAACCACTGTAACAACTGCAGTCTGAATTTTTTCTGAAGGAACTGATCCATCTAAACTGAACCATCAAACAAATATGATGATGATGATAGTTTGGTTTGACTTATTATTATGTACATTAAGGTCCTCATAACTACTTAGAAAACAAATGCATTTTCTTTTTTTCCAAATTAAAAAAACAGTTATTACTACAAAACACTTTTGAGAATGTGCATCTTAAAATATGTATGATTGTATTATCAACTAATTATAAAATTAGTTTTGGGTCGGTAAGATTTTAATAAGATAAATTTATATGGTGTAATGGTGGATTAAGTAATAGTAAAGACATTTATAATGAAAAAGATCTATCTAAAAAAAAATGCATTTTACATTTCCATTCATCAAAGTATCCTGTAAAACGATTTATTGTGGTTTCCACAAAAATATTAAGCAGCACAATTGTTTTAAACATTGATAATAATTAAAAAAAAATGTTTACTGAGCTCCAAAATACCATATTAGAATGATTTCTGAAGGATCATGTGACACTGAAGACTGGAGTAATGATACTGAAAATTCAGGTTTGCTAAAATATATTCCAATAGAAAATAGTTATTTAAATTGAAAATAATTTTTCACAATATTTTTTACTGTATTTTTTAAACAAATAAATGCAACCTTGATGAGCAAGAGACTTCTTTCAAAAACGTTTAAAAAAAAAAATTCCGACCCAAAACATTTGGATGGTATTGTATAAATTTTAACAAAATATTATATAAATATCCATTTAGTGAGTGAGTAGGATGCGTATTGCTCTGATGGTTTCAGCAGATTCGGTTCATTCCGATCCATTAAAAGAAGTGTTCTTAAATATGACTACACTCGTTGGACTGTATGTGTTGTTTATAAGACAACACAATAGAAAGACATGTTCCCAGTCAGCAAAAACATTTTTCTTTGCCGTGGTGCTGTAGTTTCCCCACCCTGTTCCTGGAGGCACACCAACAGAACACATTTTCAAACTATTCCTAATCAAATACAGCTTATTCAACTCATAAGCTCATCAATTGAGACAATTGGACGGGTCAGATAAGATAAGCTCCAAATGTGCACTGTTGATGTGCCTCCAGGAACGGGTTTGGGAAACAGAAGTGCAGCAAATATTAGTATAAGAGCATATTGGCACTATGGTTGAGTTGGATTAAATTCACTAAATGTGAAGAAAACTTATCAGCTAGACGCTATTAAAACATCTGTCTCAAAACTCACAAGTTGGAGGACAAGAAAGGATTGCAAAAGTAGTCTAATGATGCACTCTTTAGGAAACTTAATTGCATAATTAAAAGCACATAAAATAATCATGATAATCACACAATTTGCATAATATGGCATTCCTGCAGCTCAAACAGTAGCACAAGGTCATGTGTTTGATTCCCAGGGACATAAAACATATACCTTGAATGTAAGTCCCTTTTGAGCGTCTGCCAAATGAGCAAGTAATGTCAGGAGACTCTCTAGCTCTCTAGCAATGACAACACAGAGAACAAGGGATTTCAGCGTCCCAGTTCTCCATCAGTGGAAGAACAAACCCCAAAAACACATTAAAGACCCCACGACACAAGTTTTAAGGCCAGGGGATCTCACATCGGGTCTCTGGGGAAATCAGGCACAGGTCCAGTCCATGCTAATAAGCCCTTTTACCATCCCTACGGTCGTCCCACGGAGAGGGCCGCCCTCAGCTCCAATCAGAACGTCCGAGAACCACGCTAGCCGCAGGTTTAATGAGACTGCTCTTTCTGTTACTCAGGAGGGAACATTTGGGTCTGAATATCTAAAACCCAACTCCTGGCTGCCTTATACCTCCTGATGACACAGCGCTTTTCTGCTCTCTAAATGTAACTGTCCATGGTGCTGAATCCTAATCAGTGCCGGCTCTCTGCATGTGTGTGATTTTGTGTGCATGTATTCATTCAGATCCGCAGGGGTTCAGACAGAGTACATCAACCATCAGAAATTATGCTTTCAATATGTTCAGATTGCCTTGAACTGCATTTGTCTGGTTAACCGTAAAGTCTCACACCAGCCAGTTAATTTCTTCCATTTATCCTTCTGCCTCTGTTTATGCAATAATGGTAAAGAGACGTGCTTTTTTTCTTTTGTCAGAACAATCTGTGGCCTTATGTGTTTGTTTGAACAGCAGTGGTCTTGGTAACAGTTGTCATGCCAACCTCCGCCCCCAGTCTTTCCTCCTTCTCCTGTATCTTTGAAGCGGGGTTCCAATGCAGACCCATTCCGACCAATCACGGCAAAGCTCTTAGCAACATGGAGTAGTCACAGGGAATTAACTGTTTGCACTCTGCATGTATCTATATGTCTTCTCTGTCAAAAACTCTGTGTGTGTGTGTGTGTGTGTCTGTGTGCGCGGGAGGGAGTATGCATTGGCATCTCCAGTGCGGGGGAGGAGGGACGCAGGTGGGAAAGATGGAGAGAAGTAGAGAGAGAGAGTGTCAAGCAAATGGAAAGATACGGACAGGGAAAGCGGAAGGTATACAGAGTTGCTATGAATAGATTTTTTACAGGCAAATCTCAGGTGACAGCATAACTGATGAATAATATGATGCTGTAAAACATTCCTCTGTGCAGCTTTAATGAAGTCATACTAAATCAAGTACAAATTCCCATTTTAAGAACATCATGTTCATTAGTATCCACCAAAACCATATATGGATACTACAGCTGACCCAATATGCCGTAGTAAAATGTCAATTTGCTCAGAAATCTCCAGTGAACGCAAATCTTCAGAAAGCAAACTGATAATGACACTCCACACTGTTTGAATAAATAACATTAATTGCAAGCAAACACTCTTATGGAATGACTGGTACACTCAAGTGCATGCTATCTAACAGTTCAAATAATGGAAAGTAATTAAAGAGGTTCACATGCAGTGCTCACTTACCATACTGTCATAGTAGATTAATTCAAGCTCATAATCCGGAAGAATATCCGTTCTCTTGTTCACCAAATCCAGGGCCATTTGGGCAGAAGGGAGACATGCTTGGCCACCTGGCCATCCGCCGCTCATAGGGAACAGGGCTCCGATGTAGAGTTTCTTCTTGCCTAGAACCGGGCAGGACCAGGAGAACAGTAAAGTAAGGGTGGCCAAAATAAAGTAGGAAGTTGAAAACAAGCTCCGTCCTCTGCTGGGATGCTGCCAGGTTAGTTTGGCCATAGTGAGCAAGAGTGTGTACCAACAGTTTCTGTTCTTGATATTATTTAAAATGAAAAGCAAAGCTGACAATAATTTTACTTTCATAGAAATATTTTGGGAAGTGTAAATTTCATTCCCACTCAGTGCTGAAATTATTCAAAATCTCAAGTGAATAACGCACTGTCAATTACCCTAAAGTTTTATAGACCTGTGATAGGCCTATACTTTTAGATGCATTAAAATACACTTTTACATTTTTAACTTGTTTGCGTTCGGGACGAAAACACAACCACGACATCGATGACGATTCAAACAAATGTGGTTTCGTTTCCTAACTAAATTAAAATAACTGTACGCAGAAGAAATTAGAAGCGTTAACAAAGGTAATCAAGACAGAAAAGTCCATTGCGTTCGCAAGCGGGTGTTTTACCAACGAAGTTTCAAAGATTCACAAAAGTTTTAAGTATGCAAATTTAGAACCGCGAAGTCAATTGATAATAAAACGACGTTGAAAAATAACGTAGCTATCACCAGTCTAAAAAAGGCGGTCTAATATTTAAGTTAGCAACAGAAAACATTGACGCGGAATAACGTAGGCTATGCTAGCGCTGAAAAACAATAACAATCTGTCGTCGCCTCAAGAGTTTTTAGTGCTGTATTTTTATACTCACGCCTTTCCTGAACCAAGAAAAAAATATAGCGAAAAAAAATAATAACAGTAATAACGTTTGAGGAAAGCGCAATGTTCACAAACGGTCGACTGAAATCCTCTGTGTGCGTCTTTAGAAAACGATACGTTGAATTCGAAGTGAAAACCGATAAGCCCTGAACGGAGAACTAATGTCGTTGTGGTTGATTGGTATGAAATCCAGTACGGAAACAAAAGAAACGAATAAACGAAGTCACAGCAGAGAGTGTGTGTTGTGTTCGTTGGATGCAGCAGGAGACTGAGAGAGAGGGAGAATGTGCTGGGTTTATAGAGAGAGACAGCGCGCGCGCATGAGAGAGAATGTGTATGTTCGTATGAGAGAGAGATTGAGATAAACTGTGTGAGAAAAAGAGCTAGAAAGGAGTGTATGTGAGAGACAGCCGTATATGTGGGGCTAATTTTCGCTCTCCGTTTCACAGAGCACTTTGAATTTGCAATCCCTTTAACACAACCACTCTGTTTAATTACCCTCCCGTCTCCCACCTTCTTATCTTCTCCCCCAACTACACCCAAAGCATCCGTCTCCGATCCACATTTTGCTTTCTATCACTGTCTCTTCCTCAGAACTTAATAACAAAAACATTGTAATTTAATCAAGGTGGACCATGGCATGATGCAATAGCACTCCATATGCAATAACGTCTCCTTTCTGGCACACAATTGAATCCTTAGTCACAATTTAGTCGCCCTTCTTCATGTCACTCACTTTTTGTGTTGTTTTTCAATCAATATAAGGATTGAATGTCTCCTGAATCATTTCAGACAGAAGCTGCTGTACACTACATTATGAATCACATGCTCCGTTCTTCTCTCCCACACACCTTCATCTCCACTGCACCATCTATTTCCAAACTCACAGCCACTGCTCACACTAATCCTGCACCTTACAGCAGATACATCGTGATAAACAGGATCCACAGAGGAACGTCTGTGTGCGCCTGACTGTATAGTCGTCAATAATGTATCTCCAAACTGATGGGCTGACACGATCCTTCTCTTCCTCACCTTCCCCAATGTTTTTCCTCCAAGTGGAGGGCCATTTTTCTACTTGTTCAGTGGTTTCGGTATAGCGCGTTTACCCTCTCACAAATCTTTAGAGTCGATGAGAATTCGCTACAGTTATCTATCTCGTTTCTCTTGCTCTGTTTAGGACACTCTTGATTGATCTTGCAACTTCTCTCACTTGCAAAAACTCAGCACAAGCCCAGTTACATCACATCGATAGCTACTCAAAGTTAAGAGTGACATGGGCCATGATCAAGCAGACTTTGAAATGAATAATGAAACTCCAGGCGGAAACATGAGATATGGCTTTCGCTAGGTGCCTTGGGTAATTCAGATCGTTACAGCGATATATTTTTGCTGACATTCTGTCACAAAGCTGGTTAGCAATTCTGGAATCTAAATGTTTTAAGCAACAAGAGCTGATTTTGTAAGCATTTCACATTAAACTGAGTGAACTGAGAAATTTTAGGCCACCTTTCTGTTTTTCTCTCTCTTGAACTGTTTCGATTTCCACATTCAGATCAAAATCAAAACCCAGAAGCGTTGGTTATATATCAGAGAACTTGAATTAGTGGCCTGGGGTTATGCCACAAATGAAATGCACCCATGTGTGTGTGGTGAATGCAGAGAGGCGATTAGCCTCCAGGGCGGCGTTAGCGTTAAATTCTAGGCCAGCTTACACAAAAGCCATTAATTCCTAAACAAAATGTCAAAACTCCATGAAATTAAGTAACCACTTGTGACAAATGAATCTAAAAAAGCACGCACACTTTTATAGAGAGCGGTATTTTAATAGATAGGCATATATATATATATATAACCAATAGGTGGCGCTATAACAGTAATAAAGGTGAAAATGCTGACACATTTTTAGAAATCTGAACCATGTAAAAGTACTTTTTTTAAAAAAATGGTTAACACACACACTTAAATTGTAATGTCTTTAACACTAGTGGATAAACAATATAAGGTAAGGCTATTAAATGGCAGTCTGAAATTAGTATTTGTTATTATATTAAAGAAAGTTGATATGAACCACAGTCATCATCAACATAAAAAATAGCATAAAGTGAAAATAAAGTGGTATTTTGGGTTAAGGTTACAGAAACTAAAGTCACCACAAATACAACAATTTACTGGTACGTTTTGGTAATTTCAATAAATTGTATTGTAACTTCAATGTTTTATGCTCGCTATTTCATGTATATAAATTGCGACTTCGCATTTTTGCACGCATTTGAAGAGCGTGTGCTACGAACACACGATAAAGTCTGACAGTACTGTAAAATTTGTTTTTCTGAGGTTAGAGACCTTTATTTAGTAAGTTAGTTAGTTAAGTTACTTTATTTAGTTAGTATATTTAACCATGACTAACAAGTTAGAAAGACAAATAATGTTAGAATAATGACACTATAGACGGACAAGATCTCATCTGACAGAAGATACTGAATCAGCAACGTGTTTTTCTCAGCCAGGAGTTAACAGCTTTCACGCAAGACTTTCGAAATAAAAGCATTGCATTAGAAAAACATTTAGAAAACATATTTTTTCCTATGGTTGTTGTCTCCTAGACACTCTGAAGTGAACCCACTCAAAACAGTCTTGCGACCCACCATTTGAGAGACACTTATCATCCTTGCCTCAATGTGTACAACTTTAATTTTATTTCCATCATGCAAATAGATTTTTGCAAAACCTACATTTTTAGTCCAAGGGTTTTCGCCAGATTAGAACCAAACCAGAGCAAAAAGATTCTATGAAATAAATAATTATCTAAAAAAGTTAAACTTTCGATTCATCACCACAACGGCACGTCAAAGCATTCGAAGTGGGCGAGGCTACTCTTGCCTAAGCCTATGGAGTGAGGGAGTTGTTGATAGTCTGAAATCACAGTCCATATGCTCTTAACTCGCCTCTTCTTTAGCTAATCAACACTGCGATTGTTAATTTATTATTCACACTTGTTCTTATGGAATGAATTCTGATCTAATTGGTATGCTAATATTAATGTTGCTGCCTCTGGCAGAGCTTCAGTTGCCAACCAACCAGACGGACCAGTGATATTATCTAGGAAAAAAAAACCTTAGCTAAATAAATATGTCATTAACTATTCTGAGCCATTTTCTATCGATTTTCTCTTGGATATATGACAGGGGTTTCCAATATTCCTGGAGGGCCACCATCGTGCAGTCCCTTGTGAGGTTTGTTGTGATCCTGAAGACCCTGATTAGCTGTTTCAGACGGAGATGTTGGCGTGCACCTATATTTGTCCTAACATATTGAAAGGCCAGCTCTGCTGCAGCATACTATTGTTTCTCTAGTGCATAGACCTTGTAGCCCCGCCCCTTTTCAGCGCCGCACCGGTTGTCTTTTGTCTTCCGGTCTGTATTTTCAAAGAGATCTTGCGTATTTAAAATCTTCCTGGTCCACTGACATTTGGTAAGACATCTGCTTTAAACATTACAATCCTCATGATAACTTTTGTTAACGTTACATTAAGTAAATCCACTTCAAAAGCAAATTACTCCTGAACAACGTATGACGCTGATTTCACGTAGTCGCCATTTTGAAATGGCTCAGGTGGGCAGAAAACTGGTAGTGACGCCTTTAATCATAGGACAGTCGCGAATGCGATGGTGTATTGTTGTGTTTAATGTAGAAATTAGTTATTTTAAAAATGTACATTTCTTTCATACTTTAGACCCGTTCTCATCCCAAGGCATCATCTAACTGACAATTTTGACCATACGTCAACATCCGACGCACAACCCTACCCCAGACCTAAACATAACCGTGTCATCGAACTGACGCTAAAGGTTGCCATGCGCGTCGAATTTTAAATCAAGAGAAAACTCTTCTTTTTCACTGCCCTTCTACTGCTGTCTTTATCTCCCTGTCTTCCTCCACGCTTGCATTAGAGTGAGCTGCATGTCCCAGCCTGCTTGGAACAGGATCACGACACAGCAGACTGGATGTCACCGGCATTAGTATGGATATCCGCACACGCTTTTCAAAAAGAATGTCAAGGTTGAAGGCGACTGGGGGAATATCAGGCAAAACTGCCTCTCGAGAGAAATCTCGCCGCTGTCATGCACAGCCCCGCAAAGCTGAAGCACGTGGAGGTCAGCAGCTCTCCCCCCACACTCCCTTAGCATACAGAAAAGCTGGCAGCAGGTTACCGACGTCCCTGTGGGCTACCTTTCACTATCTTTGCCAGTAATTCAGACACCTGATGCACTCCATTGCTGCATTAATGGGATCAATTAAACCACTCTCTTCAGATCTAAAGGCATGGATCATTTTAAGCTACAGCCATATCCACAATGTCTGCCGGTTGGTGGGAGTCAAATGGGAGTGATGCTGAGATAACTGCGTAATTCGACATCTAATTCGAGTTTAAATGGACCTGCAGCCAGATCTCCTGTGTTTGATGGGCTCACACTCACAGTTGGAGGAATGATCTAATTCCTGGTCACTGTGTTCAGGTTCTCTGAACCTCAAAACTACAGATGGGAACTGTAAAGAATTAAACGATGCTGGTGCGTTTATGATTCCTGAATGGTTCCATTAATGGTTCTTTTAATACATTTAAGGAATATTTGGGGGAAAAAGAAGTGTAGAATTTTTTTGCAATCAGGAATCTGGAGTTTTTGATTCAGGAATCAAAAAGCACTTCATATATAGAACATTTTAGGGGTTCCATCATGGGATCATTTTATGGATTTATTTTTAATACATTTCTTATTCATTTTTAATTCATATAGAATTTTAGCTTGTGAACATACTTTATCACTAGAAAAAAATAAATAACTTGAAAGTATTACACAATCATTTAAGGCATTTCTCCTAATATATAAACTTTTTGGAATAAATGGTTCTTTAAATTTATATTAAGAAGAACCTTAGGGTTTTAAGTAGAATAAAACTGAATCTTTTTTTCTAAAGTGTAGATTCACTAAAACAAAGTCATTAATTTAAGAGTTGGACTACGCTAGTTCTGCTGTATGTTTGTTTCACTGAAAAGAACTGGCAGAAAACACTGTTCATTCAGTATTTTTATTTTTCAAAAATGAACCAGTTTTCAATATCCAAATGGGTAACCCAATATCTAAAGGGTTAGTTTACACAAAAATAAAAATCATGACATCAATTACTCATTCTAATGTCATTCCACACCCGTAAGACTTTCGTTCATCTTCAAAACACGCATGAACATATTTTAGATTAAATCTGAG